GGTAGCCTGCGAAGACCAGAGCCACTTTTTTATTATCGGTTACCACGTCCCTGTAGGTCGGTACCCAATGAGTTTTCTTACATGGAGGTTCTTGACTCTTGTCCTCAGGTTTTTGAGCTTCGGTTCCCTTTGACTTTTTCAAGTCATCGGTTCCTTTGCCTCCCTCCTTTGGTAGGTTCTTCTGTCCCTCCATGATTTCTCGGCTCCTCTTCAGCTTGCGCCTCTGACTTGCCGCTCAGTTTCTCAGGTCTAAGTTTTAGACCCNTTTTCAAGTCATCGGTTCCTTTGCCTCCCTCCTTTGGTAGGTTCTTCTGTCCCTCCATGATTTCTCGGCTCCTCTTCAGCTTGTGCCTCTGACTTGCCGCTCAGTTTCTCAGGTCTAAGTTTTAGACCCTCGATTTTGTCAGCTACTGCTCCCAGTTGATCTTGTGATTCCTGGTCTACATTTGCTGACGTTGCTGTCTCTTTGCTAGTGGACGGTTCACCAAGTGTCCCGTTGTTGGCATTGAGACCTTCAAGTTCGGCGATTCTTCTGCGAAGAGTCGCCAGTTTATGATCTTGTTCCGACAGGTTGTACGTAGGATCCCTGATCGTCATAAGTTCGTTGTTTTGTGGTTTTTCTATGTTTTTATCCATATAGTTCCCAGTTAGAGAAGTCGAGAAATAAAGGTCCGTCACAGCAGAGCTCGATACTGTGATAAGGCTGTATACTCTATGGTGCGCCAGGTGCCATAGAGGATCCCAATGGTCACTTTACCTTTCGGCTAACTACCCTGTGACAAGTTAGCAACCCTTTCACTTGGTATGGCTGGGTTAGGGGGGCCTATTCGCTGTTAGCAAGAAGGTATGCCCAAGCCAACCGGTCCCAACTAACCAAAGTCATGACCGGCTAAGAGCAGTGTTACGTGTTGCCACCCCCACTGAAATAACTAGTGTCCGCGGGGTTATTAGGCCCGTAATCCTTGCGGATTCCCCTGCGGGCCATTATACCAATATATGTACTAAATTTTAATATTATATAAATATTGGCGAAATCAAAATTTCTTCCCGAGAGGACTAATATTTTCATAATATCACTTAACATAAAAGTGGTGAGCAAAAAAAAAAACAACCTGGATGTGCCACTGTATATAATTATAATATATATTTTATCAGGTATGTTTTATATTTTATCTGATATGTTAGCAAATCTCCGGATGGAGCCTAGTGGAAAATTTTTGCCGTATATGTCCACGGATTTTGAATATTTGTTAGGTAAACTTGGACCTTATATATTAAGATAATACACGGTGTTGAGAAAAGCTATACTAACACAAGAAAAATAGCTATGACACTATGTTTTTTGGCCACTGAAGGTAGTTTTAAAAGCTTGTCATATTTAAAGTTTCAACCCAAACTCTATCAAGATGTGTACACGAAACGTGTTGTGCATTGAATGGTGAACTAAGATATGAAATAAAGGTATTATGAAAATTTATTTCAATTCAATTTGCAAAAAATTATATAATTTAAACAAAATTAAGTTATTTACAAATACGTCATTAAACAAATAAATATAAATACATAAAAAGAATTGATCACTTGTGGCTACTATTATTTAAAATTAAAAATATATTAATTTAAAACTTAAAAATATATTTAATTTAAAAGCTACAAAAATTACTAATAAATCGCAAATACGTACTTCGGTAACAATTTTACAACTATCAACACTAAAAATATTGTCATTTATGTGTTTAACATTGTTCCTTAAAAACGTATCCGCAATAAAATTATAACGTTTGAATAATTTCTTCAATTTCCAAGGGTAATTTCACCAAAAAACATNTCCGCAATAAAATTATAACGTTTGAATAATTTCTTCAATTTCCAAGGGTAATTTCACGAAAAAACATGTCGTTTTTATTAAAGCGTCAATTAACATTACTATATTTTAAACGATTAAAATTTGTTTAATAGATATTTTCATATTTTCGTATAGCAGTTGTAGTTTTCGAATTACTCAATGATATTTTTTTATAATCGGTATTATTATTTTTTTTAATGATGCTTATTTTTCGTGTTTTTAATTTATTGATTAAATCTTCAACGTTAAAATTGTTCAAAATATTCTCTCTCGCTCGTTAGCCATGTAATTCCGTATTGAATCAATAGTTGCAATGTAAACAGAAGTTATATCTTTTATATAATTTCAAACAATTTATTATTAGGTCACTATTATAAAAAATTATTTATAATTTAATTATTACTAGAGATGACACTCTAATCTATAGCTTTGATGGAAACAACGTCTAAAATGTGTTGAAAATAAGGTACTCTCGAGAGATGATGATGTGAAAAAAAGGTGGATAGAGTATTTTGAAAAATTATTGAATGAGTAGTACACAAAAGAGACATTAGAGTATATCTGGTGGNAATTATTGAATGAGCAGTACCCAAAAGAGACATTAGAGAATATCTGGTGGAATGAGGGACTGGTAGATTTAATTAGTGAGAAGGAGGTATGGGTGACTGTGGCATCAATGAAAAAGAATAAAGCAGTAAGTCCAGATGAAGTGCCACTAGAAATATGGAAAATATTAGGCGGTGTTAGCATAAGGTGGCTGAAGGAACTTTTAAATAAAATCTTATTAGAAGGGAAAATTCCAAATGAATGGAGGTATAATATTGTGGTGCCGATATTTAGAGGTAAAAGTGACATACAGGAGTGTGGAAATTATAGAGACATAAAGCTTATGAGTCATAGTATGAAAATTTGGGAAAAGGTAATAGTATATAAGTTTTAGACTTATATACTTATTTTGCACTTCTCTCTGGTGAAAAATTTGAACATTTGAATTTTATCATGGGTTCAGCTCAAATTTTTTTGACAAAAAAAAATATATATATACAATATAAATTTCCAACTTGAAAGCTGATGATTATTTTGCCGGATAAATCCGAAGACTTTATTTAATCACATCGTTGTGATCACATTATTTTTACTGACAGCATAATTTGCCAATATTCATACTGACATTTTATTTCCTGTTATACTTATAGTGAGGTATATGAGGTAAAATTAACTTAAATTTCAAGTTCAATCAGATTATCTGATATTAATTAACTTACCAATATTATCGTCGGAATTTCGCTTTATATTAACTCTATTTTTAAGTTTTTTGAAGATTGTAATCATATTGAAGCTTACATAATTTTATTATTCAGCTGAATTTGATTGTTTTTGTTATTGACATATCATTTTCCATTAATATTTAAACCGTCTGTAGTATTTTTCTATTTGCTACTAGTGCGATTAGTAGTTTAACTTACCTTAATTATTTTATTGTTCAACAGTAAAATTAATTATTTTAATATCTATTCCGTTTGTGCGACAAACATTAACATACACGTGAGCTGAAACCCGAGTAGAGCCGCCAACGGCGAACGGCCAAGTCTTTTCGGCGATGCATCCAGACCATCGGATGGGTCTCTTTGGAGACCTGGTATCGTTTCCTTTCATATATTATATTTATATAATGAGCTATATTTTATTCATTATTTTATTTAATTTTTATTTTATCGTAAATTAACTTAATTTACTTATGTGTGGGCTCTCCACACGTGTTTACCTTTTCTTCTAGCCTACGCTAAGAAGCGAGTGTCCAGACCGCTCCTGGTTTTTTTCATTAATTTCCAATTAACATTAACAGATGTGTTCCAATACCGTCCGTGATGCTTGTAATATTATTTGTTTTTTTGTTTAAATATTATATTTTTGTTAATTATATAATAGAGGATATGACACAAGATTAATTACGGGTGTTTGAAGTGGAGGGAAGCGTCTGGTGTCTTATGCGATAAAAGAATTCCAATGAGGCTGAAAGGTAAATTCTATAAGACTGTAATGAGACCAGCTATGATGTATGGTTCAGTATGTTGGGCTGTTGATAAGATATTAGAGCAGAAAATAGGAGTAGATATAGTGGATAAGATGAGAGAAACTAGACTTAGATTGTACGGTCATGTTATGAGAAGAGAAGAATCGGAAGTTGTAAGAACAGTTGTAGAAATGAATGTTGAAGGAAGAAGAGGTAGACGAAGACCAGAAAAGAGATGGAGAGATGTTATTGAATTCGATATGAGGACAGCTATGTGAGCGTAGAGGATGTGGGAGATCGTGTCAAGTGGAAGTTTAGGATAAGGGGGTCGGCCAACCTTTCTATAACTAACTATTATCTAATTTCCATTGCATCGTCTGGAATAATCCCCGTTGAACGTTACATTTCATTTTCGTGCGTACGAAATATGTGAAGCGTAATGACGTTTATTAACGTTTATCCAACGCGGTATCTATTACATTCGATGTGCAATGTAATCAATATTATTTGTTTTTAAATCTCAACGAAATAGAATAATTAGCATTTGTCTGAAATCGAATTCGAGTTAATAAAAACAATAATCTATATATGATAAATGGTTTAATAATAAATTTTATGTAAGTTTAATCATATCAACTCATCATAAGATGATCCTATACGATCATACAAATTTATTATTATTATTTCTCATTAATACAACCTTACTTTCAATACTATTATTCATTAAAATCCTCTTAATTCATTATTATTTTTCATTAATACTACTTAATCTCCTATTATAACCAAAGATAGCGGCAGGAATAGATGAGATCCAAGCAGAGCTTTGGTGAATGAACTTTATTAATGAATTTCTTGAATGAACGACTTTATAAAAAGTATAATTATTTCCGTTCCAAAGAAGACTTCAGCAAAAAAGTGTTAACAATATCAAATAATTCGATTGCTCTCGCTCGCCTCAAAGATTCTTACAAAAATTATCTATAAGAGAATGGAATAGAAGATAAAATAAATATTATCATAGGACCAATTCGGATTTAGAAAAAATATGAGTACGAGAGAAGTGATGTCGGCTTTAAGATTAATAGCAGAAAAAAAAATACGGAAAGATAAGTTCGACGTTTATTGCTTACGTTGACATTGAGAAGGCATTCAATAATGTTAACTAGGAAATAATGTTAAAAATACTGAAAAGAGCAACCATGGTAAGAAAACTATTATATGAATTGTATAAAAGTGAAAAAGCAATCATAAAAATAGGACATATTCATAAAGAGTCCAAAATAAAGAAGAAGTTAGACTATTTACCTTTAATATTTAATGATTACATTCAAGAACTCATTAAAATTATTCATCACACATTCTCAATTCATTATATATTTTCATTAAAACTAGCCTTAATTCATTTAATTTTCTTATTCCCCCTCCTTAATTCATTCGTTTTATTTTACACGCCCCTTAATTCATTATAAAATTTTCTTTAATACCCCTTAATTCATTAAAATTTTTTTATATCCACCCGTAATTCATTTAAACTTATAGCGAAGTCGGCGTACATTATATTAATTAATTTTCAAATATTTAAATTATTTTAGTTCGATTTTATTTTAAATATTGGTTTCTTGCAAATATTCATATAGAATTAAAGTGCATGCAAAATCTGCGACTTTTTCGTAATTTTTGTGGTTTTTTGAATTTTTTTAAATTTTTTTTATATTTTTTAGTTTTAAATATAATTTTTATTACAATAAATACTGTAGAATTTTTATTTAATGCATAATTTTGTATGTCATTGATTATTATTACTATATTATTCATTTATTTAAACGCCCACATTGAAATATAGGCTCATATCACTATGCTAAGCCCAGTGAGGCGAAACCTCATTTATTATTATTATTCATTATATACTATGATGTGTATTTTTTGATAATCTTAAGACGTCACTATGACATTCCAGATTTTAATAATTCTTATACAACACTTTTTTATTCTCGTCGAGTCGAGTTTATGCAGACAAGATGAAAAAAGTGTTGAATGATCTATTGAAGAGAGGTAGGGTAAGGCGTATCTAGAGCGTTAATTTTTAGGGATATTTCTTTATGATTTAGGGGGTTTCAACTAAATAATATAATATAAATATAATACAAAACACGCGCGGGGACAACATTATTTTATCTAAAGTATTCTATATAAATAAATACATGGAAATATTACAGAAAGTTTTTCAAGTCTCAGTAAAAAATGTGATTTTGCGTTTTACTTGAAATTTTTAACAATTAGGAAACTATATATTTTGTTTTTACCTACAGGAATAAAAAACTCTTTTTTTGTTATAAGTGAATTTTAGTATACTATTAATTTTACTGCTCTTTCTGATGTATCGTTTACAACTTTTAAATTGCCTACCTACTATTATCTGACATTCGAGGTAATCTTTATTTAATTTTGTCAATAGAATGTCCTGTGAGAGGCTGGCCTTCGAACGCCTGTTAATGTTTTTTTCGTCAAGTAGAAAATGTTTTGAGACTTCTGAATTTTATGATCAAAGAAGAATTTAGAAATTATCAGTAGTAAATAATATATTTAAAAAAAATATAATTCAAAAATAGATCATAGTTAAAAAATAATAATTAATCGCGTAAAATATTGTCTCTAAAGTATAAAAGGAGATGTTCTGAGATATTATGAGATAATCAAATAACTATTGAAATCAAAAGGCTGACGGTAATATCATTAAACAGTATAAAAAAAAATAACAACATCAGAAATATAATTATATCTGCTTCTCCTGTGTAATATTTGTATTATCATTATGTAAATTACATTGAAATACGATGTAATGAAGTACATTAATTTTTCGAAATCAATTGACTTAATTTTGAAATAAATCAATTGATTGGTTCGCCAGCCAACTGTAATTTTTTTAACGATCATAGTGTATATCTCGATGGTAATTAAAAAAATATTTTAGGTGAATTATACACGAAATACTACATTGGAGGATGAGATAAAAGTGAATCCAATTATAATATTTTACAATAAAATAGGATAAAAAACAATAACAAAATAATTTATACTCGTCGGTAACGATGAGCATAGTAATTGACTGATTCTGGAAATGTTTTACAGCCAAGACTTATGTAGACCTCGTAAACGAATAGGTTGGTAAATATAATTAATTTTTATAAAAAATCAGATATCGCAAATGAATAGGTAAATAATTTATTTTTATAAAAAAAATCATAATTTACCTGATGTTATTTTTTTATGTTTTATTAACAACGATTTCGTTGGATAGACTCCATGTCGTATAAACTGTTTATACTTATAAATTTTTATTTAAATAAATTTGATCGTAATTTCCAATAATCAAATAATGCGCTTCGTAATGTCTCTAATTCCGTGTTTATCCGTCGTTACAATGACTCTATGGAATTTGCAAGTGGTATGTGTTTTTGTACATTCATTACGTACATTACATTGAAATACGCTTTTTTTTTCAATTAAAGGACTGTTTACCTCTACCGAGAGGGACTAAAGCGGCCATTCGGTTCGATAGATTCGAATGGGTCGTAAACAATACGTTCGGAGTTGTGAATGATATCTACGTCACTCAATTTAACGGATTCGATTTCGCCAACGTAGCGATGACATTCAACGATGTTAGTGTTCTACAAAAAGTGAGAATCCTCGTAACGTTTTACAGTACGGTATTTTAAATGTTCGTCCCAATCGCAGTTGAGTTTTGAAATAATGAAGTGCAAAGAGCATTACATAGATTGTACAAACTACAGAACTTTCGAAATCACGCGATTATGCGGCAAAGAAAAATCCATACTGTTTTTCACGAAAATAGGATATGTAAACCGCGAATGGTCGTGTCAGATCGATAAAGTAAGACGACGATATTATACTGTCGTTTAGAATTATTAAATTGTTTTCTTCGATGTTAGCAAATTTACTCGTTAATATTATGGTAACTCGACATGACGATATTTCGTATGTTTTTTATCGAAGGGACGTTACGTATTCAAAAACGCTACACTAGACGCGGACAACATTGTTGCATCGTTTGCGCTTTCGTCGGACAAGTGGTGGGAAAATTCGTGGAAATGGAACTGTGTATTCTTTTCTCACGGCGACGCATTCGTCATGCGGTCAAACGGACAGCTCCGATTTCTTCTTTTGAGCAGACAAACTCATTCTAGACATTAGAGACAATATTTTACGCGATTAATTATTATTTTTTAACTATGATCTATTTTTTAAATATATTATTTACTACTGATAATTTCTAAATTCTTCTTTGATCATAAAATTCAGAAGTCTCAAAACATTTTCTACTTGACGAAAAAAACATTAACAGGCGTTCGAAGGCCAGCCTCTCACAGGACATTCTATTGACAAAATTAAATAAAGATTACCTCGAATGTCAGATAATAGTAGGTAGGCAATTTAAAAGTTGTAAACGATACATCAGAAAGAGCAGTAAAATTAATAGTATACTAAAATTCACTTATAACAAAAAAAGAGTTTTTTATTCCTGTAGGTAAAAACAAAATATATAGTTTCCTAATTGTTAAAAATTTCAAGTAAAACGCAAAATCACATTTTTTACTGAGACTTGAAAAACTTTCTGTAATATTTCCATGTATTTATTTATATAGAATACTTTAGATAAAATAATGTTGTCCCCGCGCGTGTTTTGTATTATATTTATATTATATTATTTAGTTGAAACCCCCTAAACCCTAAAGAAATATCCCTAAAAATTAACGCTCTAGATACGCCTTACCCTACCTCTCTCCAATAGATCATTCAACACTTTTTTCATCTTGTCTGCATAAACTCGACTCGACAAGAATAACAAAGTGTTGTATAAGAAATATTAAAATCTGGAATGTCATAGTGACGTCTTTAGATTATCAAAAAATACACATCATAGTATATAATGAATAATAATAATAAATGAGGTTTCGCCTCACTGGGCTTAGCATAGTGATATGAGCCTATATTTCAATGTGGGCGTTTAAATAAATGAATAATATAATAATAATAATCAATGACATACAAAATTATGCATTAAATAAAAATTCTACAGTATTTATTGTAATAAAAATTATATTTAAAACTAAAAAATATAAAAAAAATTTTAAAAAATTCAAAAACCACAAAAATTACGAAAAAGTCGCAGATTTTGCATGTACTTTAAATCTATATGAATATTTGCAAGAAACCAATATTTAAAATAAAATCGAACTAAAATAATTTAAATATTTGAAAATTAATTAATATAATGTACGCCGACTTCGCTATAAGTTTAAATGAATTACGGGTGGATATAAAAAATTTTTAATGAATTAAGGGGTATTAAAGAAAATTTATAATGAATTAAGGGGCAAATAAAAATATATAAAAATGAATTATGGAGGGAGAAAATTAAATGAAGTAAGGGGTAAATATAAAATAAACTTAGGGAGAATAAAAAAATTATTACAACTTCCGATTCTTCTCTTCTCATAACATGATGTTAGGGGCTTGTTTAATAGTTGAGGATCTTGGTCAAAACCAAGAAGCGGAAGCTACCCGACGTCTGCCCAAATATCGTCCCTATCTCATTAAATGAATTTTAATTGCCTGAAGGAGACACAGGAAATCGTGTACCTTAGTTACAGGGGATAGATTATTAAATAAAATTAGACAATTGTTTTAGGTCAACGACAAACTAAAATTATATTTTAGATGTTTAGTAAATATAAGTTATATGTAATGTACAATACGTCTGACCTGAATCCTAGTAAAGTTGGTTAGTAGGTATATCTAAGTGAGATGGAGTTGGTTGGCTATGATGACAATTGGCGATAGACGGGTCGTTGAATAAAACAAGTTAAGTTATAAATAATATAAATAAGACGAAAGTAATAATATTGAAAACTATGTCTAAAACGACCACTCAAACACAACTCCCTTTGTTAGTTCGACGTCAGTAGCTCCGGGCTACAGACGAGTAGAATTGTCACATCAGCATCTCCGTTTATGCTAATTAATATGTATTACGAATTAAATAAATAGAAATAAAACGTGTGTAATATAAGTGGTAAGAACATAGTAATAAATGTTCTTACAATGACCATACCATCTAAGTCTAGTTTCTCTCATCTTATCCACTATATCTACACCTATACTCCCTCTAATATGCTCATTTATTATCCTATCTCCTCTTGTTACTCCACTCATCCAACTAACCATTCTCATCTCTGCTACTATCATTTTCTGCTCTAATTTCTTATCAACCGCCTAATATACTGAACCAAACATCATAGCTGGTGTCATTACAATATTGTAGAATTTACCTCAGCCTCATTGGAATTCTGTTATCGCATAAGACACCAGACGCTTCCCTCCACTTCAACCACCCGCAATTAATCTTGTGTCTTATATCCTCGTCAATACCACTGCTCTTTTGCACAACTGACCCTAAATACTTAAAAACTCTCCATCTTTCCAATCACGTCCTCGCCTATTGTCACTGACCTCCTCATTTTGCCTTCCTTGTGTTCTCCTTTACCAAACTCGTACTCTATATACTCTGTCTTACTTCTACTTATTCTTAAATTCTTTTCTTCGAGAGCTGATCTCCACACCTCTAGCCTTTTATTAATTTCCTCCCTATTATCTTCTATTAACACTATATTGTCACCAAACAACATGCACCACGGCACCTCTCCTTGTATTTATCTAGTAATTTCATCCATCACTATAAAAAAAAAGTAAGGGCTTAAAGCAGAACCTTGGTGCACTTCTACTCTTACCCGAAAACCTTCTGATATTCCTTCTACGCTTTTCACCCTGGTACAAGTGCCATCATACATATCTTCTATTATATTAATGTACCTTTTCGGGACTCCTTTTCTCATTAATACCCCCTATAAAAACTCTCTCGGTACTCTGTCATACGCATTCTCCAAATCTATAAATACCATACACAGCTTTTTCTTCTTCTCCCTAAACTTTTCTATTAGTTGCCTCACACAAAATACTGGATCAATTGTTGACTTACTAGGCATAAATCCAAACGGGTTTTTAGATACCGATGTCTCATTTCTTATTCTCTTATCTATTACATTTTCCCAAATTTTCATACTATGACTCATAAGCTTTATGTCTCTATAATTTCCACACTCCTGTATGTCACTTTTACCTCTAAATATCGGCACCACAATATTATACCTCCATTCATTTGGAATTTTCCCTTCTAATAAGATTTTATTTAAAAGTTCCTTCAGCCACCTTATGCTAACACCGCCTAATATTTTCCATATTTCTAGTGGCACTTCATCTGGACTTACTGCTTTATTCTTTTTCATTGATGCCACAGTCACTCATACCTGCTTCTCACTAATTAAATCTACCAGTCCCTCATTCCACCAGATATTCTCTAATGTCTCTTTTGGGTACTGCTCATTCAATAATTTTTCAAAATACTCTATCCACCTTTTTTTCACATCATCATCTCTCGAGAGTACCTTATTATCAACACATTTTAGACGTTGTTTCCATCAAAACTATAGATTAGAGTGTCATCTCTAGTAATAATTAAATTATAAATAATTTTTTATAATAGTGAGAACTAATAATAAATTGTTTGAAATTATATAAAAGATATAACTTCTGTTTACATTACAACTATTGATTCAATACGGAATCGCATGGCTAACGAGCGAGAGAGATTGTTTTGAAAAATTTTAACTCTGAAGATTTAATCAATAAATTAAAAACTCGAAAAATAAGCATCATTAAAAAAAATAATAATACCCATTATTAAAAAATATCATTGAGTAATTCGAAAACTACAACTGCTATTCGAAAGTATGAAAATATCTATTAAACAAATTTTAATATGTGTCTTTATATGCATAATATAACGTTTTTATATACATCAAATCTAATTAACTATTCAATTAAGAAAATACAGATTGATAAATTTATCATGTACTACTGAATTAAACGAAAAATAAAATACTATGGGCATATACTTAAATGAATCAAAAAAAAAAAAAAAACCAGCACAGTGGGAACGTGGCATAGTTGGGTCCAGTATAAATTTAATCTGACAATGATTAAAATCACTATCATAAAAAACGTTTCGTAGCAAATCTGTGGATAGTAATTAACTTTAAATAATTGATGTATTTTCCAAAAACAAAGAGAGTAATATCTCTATAACTATTTGTAATCATTTGACATATTGTTTAAAAAAATTGTTCAATGACAGTCACACAAAAAAATCATATAGTAAAATATTTTAATATGAATAAGAAATTTTTTCTCAAGAGGGTAGACTACAGTGATGGGATCCTTGATATCTATTGAAGATATTCAATTCAAATGAGATAAAAATTAAATGAACTTTAAATTTTATTTACCTCGAAAAAGAATTAAGAAAAAATGCAAAAAAAATTATTTTGACGTTACGGTTATAATATTATACCCCAACCGTATATATAATAGCGATTTCATAAAAATTGAAAAATTTGTTGAATAATTTAATAATTTTAAATTAATTTATATTTTGAAAGTCTTATAGACTTCTACTGAAAAAGAAAGAACAATTTTAAGAGATTATTATCTTCGACATGATCTCGATCCCGATGAACAATTTGATATACGAAAAGAATTCGTCAAGTCAATAGACTTTGTTTATGCACCTCGCAATGGCCAGTAGGCTAGAAGAACACAACCTTTTAAAACTTATACAATTGTGTATGTGTACAATATTCCAGTTTAGATTCTTAATAATTTATCTTAATAATATTTGTATCTTGACATTTTTTAAGTAAAAAAATTTATACTAAATAACTATTTTCGGAGTGATTCTGTTACCACGAACCACCTATATAATCAAATAATAATTGTATTATTAATAGTTTCCCATTCGATTTTCAAAATGAATAAGCGAAAAAAATTGATATAATTGTACTTAATATCAAGACAATAAATTGTTCTGTCACTTTAAATAACTTAATAAAAAAAATATTTAGGTACGAGGCAGCTAGACATAAGTATGACTAGCTGCCTCATACGAAACACAGCAGGATCCCATTTTGTTGTACTTTGATAGATTCTTTTTGACATCAAAGATAATATTTTTTAGAATTACTATACTTTGTAACGTAACAAATTCGACGGTGCACTGTTTATAATTTTATTGTGTCTATTTTTCTGTTTTTTTTTTATTACGCAAGGGAATTTGAAAAAAAATATTTTTTTAATTTTTAGTATGTAACATAACCTTTAATTTGACACATGTTTAAATAACGCAGTATTTCTGTAACATTTTTAAAACTTAAGTTGAAAAAGTAAAATTTTTGTGTAGAAGTTGCTGTTTGATTTCCTCCCTGTGGGCAAGTAAAAGTTAAATTTTTAGAAAAAATTATATCAAATAAAAGGGAATTAGGCAAGGTGTTTATGTAAAAAAAAAGTTTTTTATTTATATTTAAAAATGTTAGTTATTGTTATGAAAAAAATGTAAAAATATCAATCAGTAGTATAATCTATCGTTATTTAAAGATTTAGTAAAGGTAGAAGAGGTGTAGTGTTTAGTGACATTCTATTTTTGCCATCGCTCACAGATAATAATTCTTCATCGTTCCGCATCCATCTCGCCTATGACTAAAAATTACATTAACTTAACACGTAATAATACAAAAATGGTTATTGTGGTAATGGTAAAAATTGTGTAGATATTTTATTCTATTTTTGTATGGTACAGAACGCCTTTAGAAGGATCTAGTTGTTTGTTTTAATTGAGATTAACTATTTGTTTTATGCCGCTTCGCCGGCCACTGGTATTTAAGGGCCCCCCGTTACCCCTTAAATTTAAGATACTCTCTGAGGAATGTCTAATATATGTGATTATTTGTTATTTAATTATTGTCTACTCTCGTTTACTTATTGGATGTATAGTTAGCCGTCGTCATCTCCTAGGTGGGTCACCTACCGCATCAATAATAACGTTTTTTTTAAACAGGCTTAAGGTAAAACGGCATTCTAGTGCAGTGCACAACTAACCGTCCTACGGTCTAGCTGCCTCGTACACAACAATTTTCAATACCATTTTTCCAGAAGGTATTTTCGCCTAAATATTTTTTTTATTCTATGTAGTCCTCTATATAAAAGAAATAATTTTTTTACTTCCCTCTTCATAGCCGATGAGCGGTTATGATTTTTTACTAATACGAACTGATGCTTATAATATTTAATAAAAGATTTATTATTATCAGCTTTAACTTTTCTATATTTTGCTATATGCTTATATTTTTCTAACTATTTCTACTATATCCTCATTTATTTTCACTACTGGGAAATTAATAATTTGTTTTATCGGTCTTATGGGTGGCTTATTTTTAAATACCTCCCATGGTGTATTATTAGTAGTGTCAGAAATACTGAGGTTAAGCCAACACTCTGTTTGTTCTAAGTAATTAGCCCAATAAGTATGTTGTACATGGCAAAATGATCGCAAAATTTTACTCATCTCCCTATTCGTACGTTCTATTGGATTACTTTGAGGGTTATATACTGCCGGAAACTGACATTCAATTTCTACATCACTTAAACTTTCTTTCCATTTTTTTTTAATGGAATTGTGTTCCATAATTATCTACTAAATTATTTTCGGAAAACCCTCCTTTACTATATATTTTTTTATTATTCTATTTAATATAGCCATTGTAGTAGCTCTTTTAAAAGCATATAATTTTATGTACTTTGAAAAAGTATCAATAATTGTTAATACATACATACATATGTACAATATGATATAGGGGGGTGTACAATTACTAGCGATTCTAACAAATCTACTGAGCAAACTTTTAATACTTGTGTTGGTGTATGTTTTATTTGAAGTCCTGCCGTATTAAATACTTTTGCCTTTTGTCACATATCACATGACCGTATTATTTTTACAGTTATTCTCGACATACCTTTAAAAACACAGTTTTCCTTCAATATTTTGTGTACCTTATTGTCGCCTTGTGATCAAAACTTACACGAGTCTCCCAAATCAATTCTATTAATAAAATCTTTAGTATTTTAACACGCCATTCTTTATTGATGTATATTCTCTCTAATAGCACATTCACGGCGATTATATGGTGTTTATACTCGGACTGTTTTAAATTAATTTTATGTTTTAACTTTCTTATTTGCTCATCCTCCTCTTGTATTTTACCTATATTTTTTAATTTGTTGGTAAGTTCTTTACTATACTGAATCGTGGTTATTTTTGCAATAACTAATCTTTTTGCTTCTCCCGGAATTATCCCCTGACTATACACTGGGTATCGGGTTAATGTATCCAATACTAAATTATGTTTACTTTGTATATATTTTATTGCTAATTTAAATTCTTATAAGAATAATATCCATCGAATTAACCGATTATTTATTAATTTACAGGTACATATAAAAATCGACGATTGATTATCAATCCATATAGGTGTTGGAAAACCTAAAATATAATTTCTAAATTTTTGACACGCAAATACTGAAGCTAAATCTCTTATTCCATAGTTGTATAATTTTTTTTGGCATTATTTATCAACCATTTAGTTTTTTAAAAACTAAGGTCCTATGTTCCCCATTTTCACCTATTTGATAATGTTCTGCGCCAATAGCTACTGACTAAGCGTCCGTCGCTATATGAAATGTTTCATGATAATTAGGAAAATACAAAATTACTTTTTCTAAAAATACTTTTTTAGATTTATCAAAAGCCTATTGATTGCTAATCCCATACCCATTTTACATTTTCTCTAATTAACTCACTTAACGGTGATACTAAATCTGAATGATTATGAATAAAACGTCGATAAAAATTAAGAAATCCTAATTATTTTTGCACCTCTTTTATATTTCGAAGTTCTTTACATTGTTGTACCACTGTATATTTATCCAGATCCATTTTAATTATACCTTTAGTTGAGATTATATACTCAAAAGAACTTTACTTCATACACAAAAAGTTTTAATTTTTTATAATTTAACGTTATATTATATTTATTAAAGCGGTATAAAACGTTACATAAATGATATGGTAGTTTTAATTACAAAACACTATAGGAGCTGATTTTTTTTGTAAATATTACATTTTTTGTCTAATTTAGATGACAATTTACTCATAGAAGATAAGATGTCAGGACAAATTTTCTTTTTTCATTTTATAGTACATGACATAAACTTTAATTTTATATATGTGTAAAGGACGCAGTATTTCCGGAACATTTTCAAAAGTTAAGTTAGCTGTTGTAAAAAAGTTGCTATTTTAAATCCCCTCCTATGAGCAGGTTAAGTGTTAGATTTTCAAAAAAATGATATTAAGTGAAAGGGAAATATCTAAGGTTATAATACAAAATAAAATTATGTTGATTTGTTGTTTTTTGAAAAAGTTATGGAAGTTTTAAGAAAAAAAAGTGACAAAATTTACCGTTTTTAAAAATTGTAATTTTTTTGGAGTTTTCTCCCATTTGCGGGGAACGAGGGAAAATTTTTCAATTTTTAAGAGTAATGTCTTCAACTAGATACAGCTTATAATCTTTTGACATATTGTTCATCAAAATCGGTCCAGTAATATCTGAGAAAAGTAGCAACAGACACAAAAAATAAAACACATCATGGTAAAATTAATACCTTCTCAGCTTTGCATCCAAGCTAAAATATATATTTCAATTTTTTTTTTTTATTAAGTTGTTCAGAGTTACTCTAAAATTTTTCTAATAATTTATTGTTTTTATATTTATGTACATTTACATCGATTATAGTCTCGGTTATTCAATTTATAGTAAAATGTAACATCAAGGAACAAAAAAAAAACTTTTGAATAATATTTTTATATTTTGATTATTTAAGTGGTTCGTGATATGAGAATCACTCTAAAAATTATTATTAAATAGAAAATGTCATATTTAAAAATTTTATAATAAATATAATCAAGGAAAATCTATAGTGATACTGGTATATTGTACAATAATAATAATATATCTTTACCATAAAATTATATAATGTTTTTTATGTTTCTATTTTATTGAGTTTCTCTAGCTTGACGATTACTTGGCGCATATACAAAATCTAGTGACTTGACGAATTCTTTTCGTATATCAAATTGTTCATCGGGATCGAGATTATGTCGGAGATAATATTCTTTTAAAATTGATTTTTCTTTTTCAGTTAAATTCATTTTAAAAGAACATCGTTTAAGTAAATCTTCTTCGTAAGGCGTTTTGACATTCAATATCCAATGATAAAGTCCCGAAAGTTTGTTATCATAATCATGAATTATAGATTCAATATCTTTTAACAGCTGCTTGTCTGCGTAGTGATTTGGTATAAGAAATAAATAGCGTGCTATCATTTCCTTATGTATTAATAGATAACTTGAAATCGTGGGTATTAATGCTTGTAATAAAATCAATTCCTCTTCTCTTGTTATACCCGGTTGAATTCTCGGGTTTTCCCACGAAACAACTACAAATTATAATTTTAAAATAAGATAATAAGATTTTATAATTAAAAATTTAATTTTGTGAAAAACAAAATGTTTTTAGTGTTGTTTTGAAATTTTTAATTAAATTTTATTTAGCATCTTTAGTTGGGTGATCCTTATTTTTTATCTTCCGGAATTAAATCGGACCACCCCGATAACTTGTTAAAATCTATAAAAAAAAATATCCATGTTAAATTTCATAAACATTAATCTACCTTATGCCGTGCGTTAAGAGAGTTAAAGTTTCGAAAAAAGATGTTCAATTTATTTGGATTTACGTCCAAGAGTTTTAACAATAAGAATAAAATGTATTAAATAAAATATTTTTTTAATTTAATTTCCAATAATTTTTGTAACTTGTAATATTTTCAGAAAAGCGTTATATTGTTTGAATTAATAATTATGCGTCTCTAAAAAATAAACAAGTTCATGAATTTACAAATAGTTCACCGATGATGTTTTTTTTTTTAAGGTCTACCACTGCCACAGATTTTCTGAACCAAAATCTGTCAGAATGTATAAAAAAAATTAACTACCAAAGGGGAATATCTTTACTTAATTAGTTGAAAGTCGTAATTGATGTAGCTGAGCGAGGATTGAAATTAATAAGTGATATCAATGACAAAATCATTAAAAATGAAGAACAAAAATAATTTTTGATACAATCACTTTATAACTATCGTAATAAATATCCTTACGCGAAACGAAGTTTATTTTCAAAAAACATTTTATCACTTTATTTTAATGAATAATTTTAAATGTGTAAATTTGTATTTAAATTACAACATTTTTGTAAAATAAATAAACACATGATAGTTAAATCAATACCTTTTAAACTTCACATTGAAGCTAAAAGGCACTAAAAATGTGTTTTTTTTATTTTGCGATTGAATGTGTCGTTTTATGAAAAAATACCAGTAATAATAATTATCACAAATTTAATTAAAAAATATTTTATTTTATAAATTTTTACCTTTTATTAAAACTATGACGTCAATGCAATGTAATTTTTTTTTTTCAAAATTTTATAGGCCCACTCCATAGTGGTCTGGAAATGAATTTCAGACTAGCGCTCCTAAGTCCCATTTTAAAATGTACTCACAATATTACAATGATTATAAAAACTCAATTCTAGTACATTGCTTGGACAGAATAAAAAATTTCAAGGTCACATGTTAATTCGATCGTTATTTATAAATGATTAAAGTATAGATGTTGTATTATAATTTTTTTAAGAAGTCAAATTTTTTTTTTCCGAAATTTTATACTTAACAAAAGTTAAGGTCAAAGATGTTAAGAAAAATAATATCAAAAAAAGTTTTTTTTTTGACTAAGTAATAATCTTTTTAATATAATAGAATACTTTTTGAGTCTTTTTGGTAATTAGTACAATAAAAAGAAGCAAGTATAGATACATAGATATTGTGGAGCATGTGTTCTAAATATTAAAAATATAATTTTTTTTTGCAACGGACAATAATTACTGTACATAAGGCTAATAAGTTTATACCAATATCTCTAGTTCAAACGGCTATAAATAACGACTGGATTATCATGTAATCTTGAAATTTTATATTCTGTCTAAGCATTGTACTAGAATGGAGTTTTCATAATTTTTTTAATATTGTGAGTACATTTAAAATGGGATTCATGATTTTTTAAAATTCACTTTCCGACCTCTGTGGGGTGGGCCTATCAAATTTTGAAAAAATAATTCCATATCCAAAAGCTAAGGACCATTCTAATGCTTATTCATTAAAGATTTAGTAACCAATTCATACTTAAAAGTAATAACTGAAACATACCAAATATACTTTTTAAGAGATTCAATTCAATTTTTTTTTCTTGAAACCACTTTTTTGATACATAGTAGTAGTATTATTTTAATTCTATATATTTACATATTATTTCAAATTATACTCTAGATTCCTAGGAAATTTATAACTTTTCATTTAAATATCAATTATTCTTATAGACTCAAGAAAAATAAACTTTCTCCCTTAAAAATAATTTTTTTCTTCTCAATTGTTACAGTCATTACTACATAATAAAAAAAACGTCAATATTTTATGTATGACACTATTAAAGACTGTCAATTTATTTTTTAAACAAAGTCGTCCGAATAAGTCAGAGTGAATCGGCATTCTATAAATAAATTAATACTTACTCATGTCTGACTCATTGACTAAAACAAGAAAAATTAATGTTTTAAAAGTAATGCATAAAAATAATAAAGCATGTGTTACATTTTACATACCCGGTGATGTATACTGACAAATCACTACAGTTTTACAAAAAAAACATTATTATATAATATAAATGTGTGTTCACCTAAAAGATTATGCACCCTCTACTTAAAACTAACATTATTTAATTATTAAATCATTTTTTCAATTTATTAAATTGTTACCAGAAAAAATCAATTAGTCGGAATTTCTCATAATGCAATATAAGTATTGAAAATATTAAATAAAAGTATAACTATTTGGATAATTAGATTTTTCATCGCCACAATTTTTAGCTTCAGGACGGACCCTAGTAATTTGAATATACAGAATGATTCTGAGAATATATATACTGAGATATATACAATATAATATAACACGCTGAGAAAGGGGTTCAAACGATTTCTTATAAAATAATAATGTTGATAATAATCATGCTAAGAAAATTATTTTTTAGTATCATATATTTCTTGATTTATCAATTAAGTACTCTTTTAACTCATCCCCTATATCTTAAAAGGGCCAAATGGTCACATTTTGTACACGTATTGGTTCGGCTAATAACACTTGACAGCTAAACCAGAATTAGCGCATTTTATAGTTATATCTATACAGGAACCCGCCGACAACGTGAACATTTTTATTCTAACAGAATCTTCTTCTTCTTCTTCCTCGCCTTAATCCCAACTACTTGGGGTCGACCACCCTTATCCTAAACTTCCACTTGACACGATCTCCCACATCATTTACGCTCACATCAGCTGTCCTCAAATCGCATTCAATAGCACCCCTCCATCTCTTTTTTGGTCTTCCTCTACCTCTTCTTCCTTCAGCATTCATTTCTACAACTGTTCTTACAGAATGCCATTAGGAAACATGCAATGCGACAAACAGTCAACACCTATCATATAAACGCTTAAGAGTTAATTAATATTATTTCAACTAATTATTATGAATTATTTCTTATTTAAACAATTATATGTTTATGAAATGTCGTCGGCTTCTTGGATTACTGTTGTCAGGCATTTGGGGCTCGAACCCAACCAAACGCCTTATCAATGGTGTTAACTTTATTTTTTTAATGGTATCATATATAATTAAATTGCTTATAAAATAAGAAATGATTTAAAATATAACGTTGACATGTTAACGCAATGACAATAGCTGAAACTAAAAATTATCAAAAATTCTCTTTACATAATTATTATTTTTAAATAAATCCAGTGGCTAGCGTTAAAAAAATCACTCTATATTTTAAATTGAAAAAAACATAAATAAAAATTTATAATTAGACACGTGTATGAATTTTGGCAATACAAATAAAAAAAAATTCGATTTTGAGGGTTATGTAAGAAAATTGTGCTTATTAAATTTTTAAAATTTTGTATTTCTGTCACATACTAAAAACTTACGAGTTAATATATTCAAGAAGATATGCTTTTCTAATTTTTTTATTCTCCAAAAAATATAGTAGATTTCACATATTAACATTTGGAATATAGCCACAGAATTAATATAATAGAAAAATAAGAAACGCATTGTAGATAAAAAAAAATCAACATAGTTGGGAAATGTATACAGTGATTCTTTTAATATTAGCTACTCAAATTCTCTTAAATTTATAAAAAATTTCTTTTTAAAGGAGCCTTTTTTAAATTTTATATGTGTCTTAATTTATTTAATATAGAATTTTTTTTATGTTTTATGTTATAAAATGTAAAAAAATTAATTTGAAACCTATAAAGACATATTTTATATCTTATTATTTTAGTATTTTGTAACTAACAAAAGTAAAAAAAAAATTATTAATTTAAGATATATTTAGTGCTTTGAATTAGAAAACAAATTCTATAGATGATATCTGACTGTGATTAGCATTAGAATAATTTGTATATTTGTAACTTTACTACTTGTAACCTTTGTCTTAAACTTATAACTTTTTAAATTTTATTCAAAAATTAAATTTTTAAAATATTATTAAAATATTTATATAGCTAATTACAGTAAACTACCAGGAAATTTTAAAAATCGTAAATCTCAAAGAACTGGGGTGCCGAAAAATTCGGGCGGAGATCGTGAAAGAGGCAGGTCAGCGAGTCACGTCGGTACTGTGGCGATTGGAGAAAAATTCGAATTTTAAGAGTCCAAAATCCGAAAAATTCTTCCGGGTCGAGCTTATTGTAGGGGAAACCGAAAATTGGTATTAGAAAGATTGTCAAATTGCAAAAGACTGATTGAAAATTGGCCATACGAATAATAAGTACAACCAAAGTGATCCACAATATCAATAACTTAATGATATTTTAGCTTCAGTGATCATTTATTTTATCAATATAGTTATTAAAATTTTAATAATCCTAAATATTTGATCTAACACAGAAGCTCAATTTTTGAAAAGTAGTAATACCTAAATATATACAACCGCAGTTGTAAATGGATTTGTTGACCTACAAAGAATCTCATTGAATTAAAAATACAAAGACAATAATGGTACACACAGGTTTAATGTTTAATAACTAAAATTATATCAGTAATTCATTGTTTATTATTTTTACTAATAACTTGTAAGCATAATTCTAGAGATCAATAACATTCACGTGTATGTTAGTTTATCTATTATCTATATCAGCCGTTAAATACCTATTTATATTAATTCAAACTTAGAACTATTATACATTGAATAATACTGAGAAATTTTAAGTATACAGAATGATTTTTATCTGATGACTCAATTACTTACAGAATAAAAATAATTTAAAATGTTTTTTTTGGTTACCTTTGACATATTCACAGATATGCAGCATTTATTATCAATGGTAGTAAGGCGCATTATTATGCCTTACTACACATTTTTAAAAATACACCAACTAACAATACAAAATGTCATAATAAACAATAAACATTCCGTGACTGTGTTATCAAAGTCATAAAAAACCAATTAGCTATCAATATTTGTAATCCCTCGTGTATATTAACTTTGTATATATGAAACTTTTTATATGTTAATAAACGAATTAAGATAAATTAAAAATTCAAGTGCCATTTACTATGAAAATAAAAACTCAAATGTTTTATTAAATTCAAAATATGTGTTCCCTTTTGAAAAACAAAGTTGATATCCTTACAAGACATAAGGGATGATCTTAAAAAGTAATACATAATTAATAATTCAAGAATAATGTGTAAGTAAATGTCACCAAAAAACTAAGTTTAAATTATTTTTATTCTGTGAATAATTGAGTTGACATGGTTAATATTAATAATCGCGTTCAAAAATAGAATTGACCTATGTAGTAATCGCCTATTGTTATAAATGACATATATCTGCATGAGATTTATTTTAAATAAATTTAGAAATCACTCATTTATACTATAATTTACAGTTATAGCATTTATTAACAAAAATCATTGGAACAGATATCTTAACCATTATTTTTATTAGGATTAGGCTTTTAAGTAGAGGTTGCGGCTCATATTTTTTTTAGGATTCCGATTTTTTTCGGTTCAGTTCTAGTCCTTGATTTAAATTCATTATTATTATTGTAACACTACAGTACTGGATTATAAATTTTATTTTAAGAAATTATTTTTTTAATTTTATTTTATCTCATTAAAATTAATAATTTACAAATAAATTACTTACTGGCTGTTTCAAATGACAATTAAAAAAAAAAAAACATAAATTAATAATATGAAATAATATAATGGTTAATGATTACAATTGATGTGTTGTATATACTTTTTTACAGTATATACAACACATACAGTACTGTTTTATGAGTTTTATTTTATATAATTTTTTTGACAAGAATATTGCACCTAAATATTACATTAAAACTTTAGTAGTTTTATATTCATTGTAACACCACTACCATAAGAAATGAATGTGATTTCAGTGTTGAACATTTAAAATTTTAATAAATAAATTAAAATCATAGATGTTAAAAAAAAAATTCTTAAATTACAAAAATGCATAAAATATCAATATTAATGAAATAATTTTTTCTTTCTGGAAAAATTTTTAATAGTCAAGTTAATCCATAAGTTGCCATTGAAGTGACAATATCTAATATGTCATAGGTTACCATTTTACAATACACGTTACATTTAAAAATTGTATGTAAAAAAAATAATAATTTAAAAATTTACTTTTTCGAATGTACTTTCGGCATTTAGGACAAATTGATTTTCTTTCTCTCCAAAGATTAAGACAATCATAGCAAAATACGTGATTGCACTCAGTTATTAAAACAAGGCCCTTAAATTCATTAAAACAAATAGAGCATTCTAGAAAAAATTAAAAACATATTATTGCAAGTTATTTACACAATTCCAAGAATGTTAAAGGTTTAATTTATGTAAAAAATCGATAAGTTTAAATGAACGTAAAAGTTTGATCATTTTATTTTAGGAAAAAACAAAAATAATATTTTTGCTAACAGTTTTTCACATAAGGAATTTCTTTTAATAGAACTTTTCAATTGAATTAAATGATAATTTCAATGAGAATCAAATATGATAATTTTATTTTTAAATTGAAACAATTTTGAACCACTTGAGTGTTGAAAAAACTGATAGATAATTCAACTGTCCGCTTTATACTCTTACTCTTTTCATCAAATTATATACAAATTATTTCTTCCTCAGCCTTTCTCTAAAAAACACTTTGTTCTCTTCCATCAGTTAATAACGTTATGACAAATTAAATGTTTAATCTTTACAGATTACTCTGTTTCAATCAGATTTTAAAATTAAACAAAATATTATTATTGATAAATAATGTAATAGTATCCAAACCTGTTTGTTCATCTAATCCTGTAATATAATTACAATTATTAATATACATACTATTTATTAGTTCTAAACTTGTATTGCTATTATTGTTTTTAAATATTTTAGATGTAATTTTTACCACAGGATTCATACAAAAAGACTATCAAAAATATGACTGAAGTGATGACCAAATTCTGAAAAAACGTTTCGTAGCCATTCAATTCTTTAAATAAATATTATATCATTAAAAGATAATACGCACCATTTTTTTAAATCAAATTGCAATCGTTTTGTTATATTTCAAAATTAATAAATATATACTATAAACTTTATATACTTATCAAAGTGACAAAAACAAATGTAATACCTTTTAAAATAATGGTAATTATAAATTGATTTTATAAAATATGCTATTTACAAAAATTAGGACAATTAAATTATTTTCAAAATAGAATAAAGTAAATTAAAAATAAGTCAGACAATTGAATATACAAATTAAATACGATTAGCACTTAAAAAATCTTACTTTTATAACATGTATTTGAACACCTTGAAGTATATATTTAGATATTATTTATATTGTTTTAATTTTTTCTTTATCACTCAGTCAAAATTAAAATCCACCTATAACTTATAACTATTTTTATACAATAAACTAAAGGTGGGTATAGTTTTACCTCTAATTTATCTTTAGACAAACATTTATTTAATACCGTATGTATTTGTTTTTAAAGATAGGATAATTATTTATTTTATTGACCATTTCAGAGTTTAAGAAAATTACTTATTTTTCTCAGCACAATGTTATTTGTCAAATTAAAAACTAAATCGTATAATTTCAATGCAAGTAAAATAACATATAATTATTTTGAAATAAAAAATAAAAAGAACAAATTAGTATATTTATTATTCGAAATATAAGAAAGAAGTTTTAAACAAATTAACTTGCTTACAAAAAATTTCTCACTAAAAAATAACTATTCAAACACAACTTTTGATTCAGTATTTTAAAAGATATTAATATTTTTTTACCAGGCAAAAATAGTAGTGCGTTCATGAAAGCTTAGAAAAACAAATAGACAGACCTGCACATGTCATTAACCATCATTCATTTTTATTAGTTTTATTTTAAGCATTGGTATGTTACTGAGATGCTATATCAAATTTTTTTTTTTTAATTAACCTACTATTTTGACACGGTACCGTGTTTCCCTCAGCCGCACATCACGTTATCAACCTAAATTAAAGTGTATCAGAATCATAAGTACACGATGACCTAGTGGTAAGTATTGTCTCTACGACACTTTGGGTTGCGGTTTCTAGTCCCGTACTCCTTTTTTCACACGATTTCCGGTACACTTTCAATAACCGGCCGTCAATCCCGACGGCCGTGTTAATATTAAAACACTTTAAAAATAAATTTCAACTGCCTCAAGCATTAAGATCTGGGAAGCAGGAGATTTTAATTAATTGCTAAATGTGGTTGGCTGGACTTAATTGAAGATTTACACGTTGGCGTTATTTTATGGCAGAACAATAATTATAATTTGTTCTATAACTATTGATTATTTTTTATTTTTAAATAAGGGAACTCTGATTTGGTAATCTTGTATATACATAATATGTGACGTACATGTACAAATTATAATCATGTTATATGGTAATAATTGATAACATAATATTACAAAACTTATAACACAAATGACAAAAAAAAATTACAACTAATCATAATTTACAAAAATCATTGAAATATATACAGGGTGATTTTTTTATCATAACCCACTCAATTACTTGCAGAATAATAATAATTTAAACATTTTTTTTTTTTATTATCTTTAGTTACACATTATTCTTGAATTTTTAACTATGTAATACTTTTTAAGTTCATCCCTTATGCCTTGGAGGGGGTCAACTTTGTTTTTTTAAATGGTAACACATATTTTTCATTTAATAAAATGTTTGAATTTTTAATTTAATAGTAAATGGAATTTGAATTTTTAGTATAACTTTATTAGTTTATTAGATTTAAACATTTAAAGTTTCAACATTTTGAGTTAATATACATGTATAATACACATGGGATTGTAAATACAGGTAGCTAATTGGATTTTTATAACATCGATATTAACAGGTACACAGCATTGTTATTATCAATTGTAGTAAGGCACATTATTATGAGTTTATAAATACACTAACTGACAATACAGAAAGTATATCTATTGATAATAATAATTGATAATAAACAATCCGTGACTGAGACAGCAATGTCATAAAAATCCAATTAGCTACCTGTATTTACAATCCCATGTGTATTATACATGTATATTAACTCAAAATTTTGAAACTTTAAATGTTTATATCTAATAAGCTAATAAAGTTATATTAAAAATTCAAATGCCATTTACTATTAAATTAAAAACTCAAACATTTTATTAAATTAAAAATATGTGTTACCATTTAAAAAAACAAAGTTGACACCCCTCCAAAGCATAAGGGATGAACTTAAAAAGTATTACATAGTTAAAAATTCAAGAATAATGTGTAACTAAAGATATTGAAAAAAAAAATTTTTAAATTATTATTATTCTGCAAGTAATTGAGTGGGTTATGATAAAAAAATCACCCTGTATATATATGTTAAACATTTTTATTATTCATTACACAATTGTGTGATGAAGTGCCTTCGGGACAACTTGCAACGTTCATTTATTTTAATAATTAGTGGAATAATAGATATACATATAATTTCTTCATATATTACATGTATTGAATTTACGGTGCAATTTAGAAGTTGCACTTGGCTTTGTTCTTGTTGTGTCCGGGCGCCAACATTAAGTTAGGGAAAGGGTCCCTTTTAATTTCAAATTATATAAATTGAATCAAATATCTACACAATTTTTACCATTACCACAATAACCATTTTTGTATTATTGCGTGTTAAGTTAATGTAATTTTTAGTCATAGGCGAGATGGATGCGGAACGATGAAGAATTATTATCTGTGAGCGATGGCAAAAATAGAATGTCACTAAACACTACACCTCTCCCCCTTTTCTAAATCTTTAAATGTCTAATGGTGTAGATGTTCCGATATTATGTATACAACTATAGAATATGCTAATTTTAACAACATTTTTTTGATTTTTATCTTAATAAATCCTAGCGAATAATTTATCAAAGTATAGTTAAAAATTTAAATCATTTTGATGTAACACATAGGCATGAACGTAAAAAATACTTCCTGATTGATAATTTTAGAAAAGCATATATCTACTAATAAAACCAAAAAAAATAAACTCAATTTTTATTTTATTTACCGATTAATTAAGTAGTTTGTGTAACAGAATATATATATATTTTATATTTAAGTACAATTGAATCGATTTCGATTTTCTTATTTTTCTAAATCAAATATGTATTTTAACTATGAGACACAAAAATTCTTAACAATATTTTTATGTTTTGATTATTTAAATGATTCATATAAACAAATCAATCTAATAACTGATTGGCTACAATTACTAATAACGTTAGATTAACATTACACTACTGATTGATATTTTTTTTCATAACAATAACTAATATTTTTAAATATAAATAAAACACTTTTTTTACATTCCCTTTTATTTGACTTAAATTTTCCGAAAATTTTACCCTTACCTAACCCCCAGGGAGGGAATCAAACAACAAATTCTGTAAAAAAATTATACTTTTTCAACTTTTTGAAAATGTTACGGAAATACTGCGTTCTTTAAACATATGTCAAATTAATGCTTACGTTACATACTAAAAATTAAAAAAAATAATTTGTCTTGACGACCAATCGTCTATTTTCAAATGGCTACCTTAGTTAAAAAACATGCTATTTTTTTGTTCAAATTTGTTTTTAATTTTGTACGTTTCCCAAAGTATGAAAAAAAGCCTCCTACTAGGAGAGATGTCACACCTATCAGTTAGGATTACCGAACATTATGAAGAATTTATTTTTAAAATAATTAATAATTAAATTTAACTAAATATTTTATTAAATATAAATGATTACAACAACTCGTGGTTGGCAACAGTGTCAGAAACTGTCGTACGAGGCAGCTAGTCGTCCTAATGTCTAGCTGCCTCTTATGTAAATATTTTTTTATTTATTTTTATTAAGTTGTTTAGAGTGATAGAACAATTTATTGTTTTGTTATTAAGTACAATTATATCAATTTTTTTTTCGCTTATTCATTTTGAAAGTCAAATGGAAAACTATTAATAATACAATTATTATTTGATTATCTAGGTGGTTCGTGGTAACAGAATTACTCTGAAAATATTTATTTAGTAGAAAATTTTTTACTTAAAAAATTTCAAGATACAAATATTATTAAGAAAAATCATTAGAAATCTAAACTGAAATATTATAAATTTGCACAATTGTATAAGCTTTAAAAGATTGTGTTCCTCTAGCCTACTGGCCACTGCGAGGTGCATAAACAAAGTCTATTGACTTGACAAATTCTTTTCGTATATCAAATTGTTCATCGGGATCGAGATTATGTCGGACATAATATTCTCTTAAAATTGTTTTTTCTTTTTCAGTTAAATCCATTTTAAAAGAACTTCGTCTTAGTAAATCTTCTTCGTAAGGTGTTTTTATTTTTTTTATCCAATGACGAAATCCCTGAAGTATGTTATTATAATCATTAACTATAGTTTCAATATCAATTAACAGCTGCTTGTCTGCATAATGATTTGGTATAAGAAATAAATAACGGGCTACCATTTCCTTATGCATTAATACATAACGTGACAACTTGCGTACTAATTTTTTTACTAAAAACAATTCATCTTCTCTTGTTAAACCCGGAATGATCTTCGGCTTTTTCCATAAATCAACTACAAATTATAATTTTAAAATAAGATAATAATTTTCTATAATTAAACATTTAGTTTTGCAAAATATAAAAAGTATTTAGTGTGGTTTTGAAATTAAAATGGTTCATTAAATTTTATTTAATACATTAAAAATAAATTCACACTGAAATGTAATAACTGACACATACCAAATATACTTTTTAAGATATTTAATTCAATATTTATTTCATTATTTTTGTAGAACTTTTTGGATACATAATAATATTAATTTAATTCTATATATTTACATATTATTACACATTATTATATAATATTGTATAATAATTTCCGTGGAGTCTATTCCTAGGAAATTTATAAGTTTTCATTTAAATATCAGTTATTCTTATAGACTTCCAAAATATAATTCTAACTATTTATTACTACTAAGTAATTTTTTTAAAGCTAAAGAGATACCTCCTAATGCTACTTTATCAAAAAATATGTCAATATTTTATGTATGATACTATTCAAGACCGGCAATTTATTTTTAGAACAAAACTTTTCGAATAAGTCAAAGTGAATCTGCATTTTACAAATAGGAGAATACTTACTAATGTCTGACTCACTAACTAAAACAATAAAAATTAATGTTTAAAAATAATTCATGAAAATAATAAGACATGTGTTACATTTTACATACCCGGTAATGTGTACTTATAAATAACTACAATTAAAAAAAAAAAAAACATTATTATAAAATGTAAGATTTTCATCAGGCCTCTCCCAAAAGGTACACGCTCTAGTGTACCGTTAAAAAAAGTTAAACAGTTAAAAAAGTAATAAATTACAAAAGAATTTAATTTTGTTGTTGAAACTTATTATCATAGCAAACCTAATTCGTAATAAATACTTTAAAAATATTAGTATTAATAATTTTAATTGTCTATATGGAGAAAGCTGGTTAAGCTTTTTATTTGATAAATGGGATTATTTTTTTCATCAACTAGATTCTAGCTGTGATAATTTGATGAATCGTTCAAAAAAGTTGGTTAAATGAGAGTTGATAAAAAAATAACAGCCAAAAAAAAAACCACTTTGTAAAATAATTTTAATATGAATAAAAAATTTCTTTTCAAAAGGGGAGACTACAGTAATGGGGTCCTTGATATTTATTGAAGTTATTGAATTTAAATGAAATAAAAATCAATTGAGTTGAACAATTTTTTCCAGCTCAAAAAAAAATAAAGAAAAAACGCAATAAATTCATTGGTTAGAATTTCGTAGCCTAAGAGTGATGGACACTTTTAACAAAATTATGGTACGTTTAAGTATCAAAATATTAACACTTTAAGCATTGATTTTTACATAAAAATTACATTTTTCGTTCAATTCGGCGTCCATTACCATAAAGAATTAAAGGTCGGGACAAATTTTTTTTTAAACTTATAGTACATAACTTAATCTTTATTTTAACATAAATTTGAAGCTCGGAGTATTTCCAGAACATTTTCAAAAGTTAAATTTTTGTGCAAAAGTTGCTATTTTGAAACTATTTCCTGGGAACAAGTGAAATGTCAAATTTTCAAAAAATTTATGTTAAATGAAAGAAAATATCTAAAGTTTCTATAGATAAAAAAAAATTTAATTCGTTCATTTTTCAATAAGTTATATCAATTTTTAGAAAAAAAAAAATTTTAAAAATGTCAAAATTTACTGATTCTAAGAATCGTAATTTTTTCGAAGATTTTCACCATTTACGGGGAACGAAGGGAAAATTTTTAATTGCTGAAAGTTATGTCTTCAACTAGATAAGATTTGTGATATTTTGACGTCTTTTTGAGAAAAATCGCTCTATTAAGAGCTGAGAAAAAGTAGTGACAGATAAATAAATAAATAAACACATCATGGTAAAATTAATACCTTCTCAGCTTCACATCGAAGCTAATGTCAAAAATTTTCTTTACAAAATTATTATTTTAAAATAAATCGAGAGGCTAGCGTTAAATAAATCACTGTATTTAAAATGAAAAAAACACAAAATACAAATTTATTATTATCACCCGTATGAATTATGGCAACACAAATAAATCTGTGGATTATATCCAAAAGCTGATATTTTACAAAAATGTGGTTTTGAAATTTTTTTATATTTTGTAAAAAGAAGGTTATTTTCGGTCACATGCCAAAAAATTACGAGTTTATATTATCGTTTGTGTAACTTCAAAAATGCCAATTTTTGTAAATCATAATTGTAACTTTTTTTTTATTTTCATGAAAAATTACTACATTTTAACATATCAGGTTTTGGAAAATAACCACTGAATTATAATAAAGGTTCAAATGTTAATAGACTTTAAATCAGGGACTAAAACCTAATAGAAACAATAACTTGGGTTCCAGTTCAGTTTCTTTAAAAATTAAAATGTCAGTTTTTAAAAATATGTTAAGGTACTATAAGCGGTTTAATCAGTTTTTGAAAAATTAGGTAATTATAGATTCTGAAAAATTTTATCAAAAAAAAAAAAATAATAGTAACCATTTTTAATTTTAGAAAAATTAAAAACAAATTTTCTGTCAAAAAAAATTTAAAAAAAGTTTCTAGTAAAAAAAGTCTGCATAATTAGGAAATGTTATAGTGAATATTTTAAAACTAGTTACTCAATTTCTTTTACAATAATAATATTTTCTGGTGGAGAGTTTTGTTATATTATATTATATTATATGTTATGTGTGAAGAAGAATCAATAAAAAATGTTTAAAAAAATAAAGTTAAATCTTTTAAAGACATAAACCATGAACAAAAAAAACATTTTATACTTAATATTCTATAAATAACAAAAGTAAAAAAAAAATTATTTATTTAAGAGATATTGAGTGTTTTGTGTTAAAAGATATTTGTTAAAATATCTTTATAATATTTGATAAATTATTCTAGATTTTATAGATGATATCTGACTGTGATTAACATCACTTTCAGAATAATTTACATATTTGTAACCTTACTATTAGCAAACTTAACATAAAACTTCTTTAATTCTTTTAAATACAATTCAAATGTTGATGTATGCACATTATTGTAAACTATTATCAAAAGTTTCTGCTTTTAATAATTCCGTGGCTTTGGGTTCAAGTAACGGTTACGGTTTGTATATTTTTTAGGGTTCCAATTTATTTTGTTTCAGTTTTAGTCCCTATTTTAAATTCCTTAGTATTATTGGAAAATTACAGTATTCAACTATAAATTTTGTTTTAAGAAATATTTTTAAAACTTTATTTATTATTTTAAGTATTTTATTAGAATTAATTATTTTTAAAGATAATTACTTACTGACTATTTCAAATGCCAATTCATAAAAAAAAAACATTAGTTAATAATTTAGAATAATACAATTGATAATGATTATAATAGATATCTTTTTTTTACTTTTTTGGGTAATAATGCGTTTTATAAATATTATTTTATAAAAAATATTTTTTTGTTTCACTTGAATATTATATTAAAAATCAAGTATTTTTCTACACATTGCTAAAAACTTTATTCGTTTATGAATATAATATAATCAACAGAAATTAAAAATATTTATCTTGAATTAATAATAATTAGTAATTAAATATTTTTTTCTTTTCCGAGTAAACTTAAAATAGTCAATTTGTTCTATAGTTCGCCATGACAGCGACAGTATCTAATGTGCTCTGGGAAATAATTTTAGTATAAATGTTTCATTTAAAAATATCAACTAAAAATTATACATAAAATGATAATTTAAACATTTACTATCATATATTTTATCTCGGCATTTAGGACAACTTGAATTTATTTTTCTCCAATTTTTAAGACAACCATAACAAAATACGTGTTTGCATTCAGTTATCAAAACAAGGCCCTTAAATTCATTAAAACAAATAGAGCATTCTAGAAAAAATTAAAAACGTATTATAGTTAATTATTTACACAATTCCAAGAATGTTAAAGGTTTAATTTATGTAAAATAGTGATTAGTTTAAATGAACGTAAAAGTTTGATCGTCTTATTTTAGGAAAAAACAAAAATAATTCTTTTTAAATTAATGAGAATCAAATATGATAACTAGCTTCGATGCGAAGCTGAGAAGGTATTATTATTACTATGATGTGTTTTTTTGTGTCTGTTACCACTTATTCTCAGCTCTCACCGAACTGATTTCTTTCAACATACGTCAAAAGATCACAAATCGTATCTAGTCGAAGACATTACCCTCAAAAATTGAAAAAAATTCCCTCGTTCCCCGTAAATGGGGGAAACCTCCAAAAAAATTACAAACTTAAATATCGATAAGTTTCGACATTTTTTCAATTTTTTTTACTTAATATTGCCATAACTTTTTCAATAATGATTATATCAATTATAACAGTGTTCCGGAAATACTGACACTTTTATATATAAAATTAAATTAAAGCTTATGTAATATAGTTTATTATCAAAATTAATAAAAAAAAAAATACAATTTTTGTAAAAAAATTCTTTTTTATATTTTTAACTGATAGATATAAATAAGGAAATAGGGGAACGTGTAGTTTTTGGAATAATCCACCAATTTTTTAAAATTAAACACTATCTACAGATTTGCATCGAAGCGCTTTTTATGATAGTGATTTTAATCTCTGTCAGATATCATTATTCTTGACTCACTATGGAACATTCCCACTGTGCTGGGTTTTTATATTTTTAAATCAAACATACAAATACTCCAAGTATTAAATACGTTTCTTTTTAATCAAATTTTATAATAGAATTTAAAATAAATATAGTATTATATTAGAATGTTATTATTAATAAATAATATTATAGCATTCAAACCTGATTGTTCATCTAATCCTGTAATATAAAGAAATATTATATATTAGTTTTAAACTAAATATAATTAATGGAATTATTATTATTATTTAATTATTTTAGATTTGATCTTTACCACGGGATTCATATAAGAATAATAACAAAAATGTGGTTAAAGTGATGATCAAATTCTGAAAAAAAATTTCCTTTAGGGTTCAGCTTTTATATAAAAGTTATATTATTTTTAGATAACATATACCATTTTTAAGCCCAATTAAGCCAAATTGTAATCATATTTTTATACTCCAAACTTATAATTAAATTTTATACATACTATGCTAAATTTATACTCAACAATGAAACAAAAATAATTTGTAACCTTTAAAAATAATTCTAAACTTGGAACTTTTTACACGAATAACTCTTGTTACAAAAAATAGAATATTTAAATTATTTCAAATCAACATTTTTAAAATAGAATAGTTTAAATGATAAAAAAATGACAGCATGTAAGATAATACATACCATTATTTTAAACAAATTGTAATTGTATTATTATATTTCAAACTAACAACTAAATTGAATATATACTATACACATTATATACTTATAAATGTAATAAAAAAAAATTAAGACCTTTAAAAATAATTATAGATTTGTGAAATGAGCTTTTTACAAAAAATAGGACAGTTAAAATTATTATCAAAACGAAATAATAAGAAGTCAGACAACTGAATATACAAATTAAACAAGTTTTATATTTAAAAAATCTTCAAAATTTACAAAATTTTAACAAAAAATGTTTAAATTTTACTTTTTATATTTAATTCAATTTTTTTAACTAGTATTTATTATATTTAACGAATTATTAAGTTACATTTTGGCTGGTAAATAGTTCGTTTTTAAATTATACAGTAAAAATTTTGAAATAAATGTTTTTTGGGTAAAATCTATTTATACTTTATTATTTATTATTTGAAAAAAAAATGCATTAATCAAAATACTATGTAGAATAAAAAATATTGTTTATTAAATTGTCTACAAATAAAGTTTTATGCATATTTTTATATGAATAAGTTACAATGAAATATAAATTAAAAATTGAAAAAAAATATGGTTAATTCAGCAAAAATGTGTTTTTAAAATTTAATGGATGGGAGCACGGGTTGAACTTAACCAATCGACTCCAAATTTTATACACAATTTTAGCTTCGATGCGAAGCTGAGAATGTAGTGGTTTTACTATGATGTGTTTTTTTTTTTTTTGTGTCTGTTACCACTTTTTCTCAGCTCTCACCGAACGGATTTCTTTCAACGATACGTCAAAAGATCACAAATTGTATCTAGTCGAAGACATTACCCTTCAAAATTGAAAAAAATTCCCTCGTTCCCCGTAAATGGGGGAAACCTCCAAAAAAATTACAAATTTAAAAATCGCTAATTTTCGAAATTTTTTCAATTTTTTTTACTAAAAACTGCCGTAACTTTTTCAAAAATGAACATATCAATATAATTTTTTTTTTTATAGATGCTTGATGTCTTTACCTATTATTTGGTATATTTTTTTTGTAAATTTGACCTTTTTTCTGCCCACAGGGGGGGATTTAAAATGACAACTTTTTCACAAAAAATTAACTTTTTCAACTTAACTTTTGAAAATGTTCCGGAAGGTCTGACACTTTTATATATATCTTAAATTAAAGCTTATATAATGTACTTTAATTTGAAAAAAATAAATTTGACCTCTGGACTTGTCTTCATGGTGAAAACGGTTACCGAATGCTATTTTTGTGTGAAAATTTTTGATTTTATAATTGACCTTTTTTACTTTAAAGTGCTATAACTTTTTAAAAAATGTATGGATCAATACAATTATTTCATGAGAAGTAGTATTTATATACATCTTTCATTGGATATACTTTTTTTTTAAATCAGTCTATTTCCCTATATATGGGGGGGCTTCAAATATAAAAAATGCATATAGAAAGTAGAACTTTTTCAACTTAACTTTTGAAAATGTTCCGGAAGGTCTGACACTTTTATATATATCTTAAATTAAAGTTAATGTAGTATACTTTAATTTGAAAAAAAAAAATTTGACCTCTGGACTTGTCTACACGGCGAAAATGGCTACCGAATGCTATTTACGTGTGAAATTTCTCGATTTTATTATTCATATTATATTTAACTTTATTTATGAGAAATAATATTTTTTAATAAACCCTTTTTCATTCGACAGACTTTATCTTAATCGAGATATTAAGGAACCAGCAGATCAAGTAACTTTTGAAATAAAACACCAATTTTTTTAAAATTAAACACTATCTAAAGATTTGCATCGAAGAGTTTATTTTTGATAGTGCTTTTAATCACTGTCAGATATCATTATACTTGATCCAACTATACCACGTCACAACTGTGCCGCGACCCCCCTGTGCTGGGTTTTTTTTTATACATATATGAACCATTTTAGAAGGTAAGATAGATAAAAATCTAATATTGAAAATTAAGAGCCACTGTAAGGTATATAGTTCTCTCTATATCCTCTAGGTATGCTAGAGATAAACGTTTTAACTAAATTTATAAAGCATAGATAATTTTCCGGTTTTATCCCAATCACCTCTTTCTCTCCTCGAAACCTGAATCTGAAAATCTAAACCTAAACTCACGCCAATTCACTTTTTTGATGTTGTATATTCTTATGAAAGGTACAACAAAGGATTTCACCGCTGTTATTATCTGTATCATAAGCGGCCTGTGTTGCGTTTTTGGGATATGTTTTAGCACACTCTTTTGACGTATGTTACTATTTTTTTCCAAAATGAAAATATTATCCGGGTCATATCCTATTTTCCATCTCTCACTTTGAAAGAAAAAGGGTAACTTTGATCAAGTAAAAGCATTAAATTGGTAACACTAGCCAATTTCTCTACACATTCTCTGCTTTTATCAGTGTCTATGTAGGCCTAGTTTATGCACCTGCAATTAAAATCCCATACTACTATTTTGATGGCCTCTCGGATAAAGTTTTTCGGGTTTTTAAATTTAAATATCTGGTTTGAGGATTTATATATCGAAGTTACAGTACATTTATCTAGTTCTATACTTATTATTTTGATGCCGTTTTCTTCAGTGTACAATATTGATTTAATTAATTGCTATTTCGGGTCTTGCGAACACTGCGCTCCCATGTTTTCTAGGTGATATTTCCACTACTCGACACATTCTATTCTAGGTCTTAAATGGTGTATATCTCTATGTGTTTCTTGTTAATACTATATGTCGCATTTATTTTCCTTAAATAAGTGTGACAGAATTGTCACATTTTATTTCGTTGACATCTCAATGTTAACTAAGGTCGTAGTAGTAGATGGCCCTGAAAAAGGCCTTTTTAACACTGTAGTGCTGCATTTATGACCGGGTTTGGTAGAATTAGCCAAATTAGATAAGAGATAACACACTATGATGTGTTTATTTATTTTTTCATATATTACAAAAAATTTAATTTATATACAAATGCACATTTATAATTTTATATTAAAATAATTTTTATTATTTTTTTTTAAAGTGTACTTCGTTTCATGTCAGGATATTTATTACGATAGTCATAAAGTAATTGTATCAAAAATTATTTTTATTCCTTATTTCTGGTGATTTTGTCATTAAAATCACTTATTGTTTTAACTCCTCGCTCAGCTGCATCGTTTACGACTTTCAACTAATTAAGTAAAGTTATTCCCTTTTGGTAGTTAAAATTTTCGTTACATTCTGCCGGATTTTGGTCCAGAAAATCTATGGCAATGTTAAACCTTTTTTACTTTCAATGGTGAAGGAATATTTGAATCTTAAACGTGAATCCTACTGCTTCAGGAGATAGGTACTGTAAGTGACCAAACAATTTTTCCAATGAAATTTTTGATATATATTTATCTAATATCATATTCAATTAGATACTGAATAACTAAAATGTCTTGATAAGGTGCTTCAGTTTCAACATGTGAACGGAGTCATCTTTCAAAATAAACAGATTGTACGGGCCAGGAATATTAACTCCACTCCAAGAGCTGACCAACCTGTTAGTGAGTAGTGCGGTAATAGTACAACTGGCGGTGAGAGGGGTCGCTTGGGCAAAACCAGTGATCTATGTAGTGCTCAAATATGTAAATGTGTAAAAAATGTAGGTGTGTAATCCTTAAAGTTAATTAAATAAATAATTTCGGTTTCTACAATAATTAATAATAATATTTTGAATAATACAATAATAAATAATGTCAGGAATACAGTATAGAAATTAATTGTCTATTTATATTAAATAAATTTAGACAACTTTTAAAACCATCATTGTCTGAATCTTACAGTATAACTATTTATTGATAAAATACAGAAATTATTACAGATGAATGGAGTATAAAAATCATTTTGACATTTTATATATAACATCAATATAGTTTTTTACTCATAAGATTAGTGTTGATAGAATGCATTTAATTATTAAAATTATAATAAAAAAAGATGACAAATATAATTTATAGATTTATTCTTGGAAAGAGTGATTTTAAAAGTAACTATTAATTGATTTACGGCTGAATTGTGTTTAATCGTGTATAATTAAACAGTATAATATAACAATAATTAAATCTTTTTGGTTGAAAAGAATTATGTTCTTCTAAGAATATAAATATAATGTATAAATAGAAGTGTTGATTATCTTAAACAAAAAGGTTAAATAAGAGACCATTAATGTGGATACAAACAGGGTAGCCCACTGTTATTCCATTTTATGTTAATGACGAGTATATTACGAAACATAATTAAACACACAAAAGTTTCAAAATAAATTTTTATTTTCTTCAATTAACTTATTTTGAATCTGTCTTTTTTGCCAAGAGTGAAATTATTGAGTATGATACACGTATCGCCTAAAATCAATTATTAATTAATAATAATATATATATATATATATTATCATCATCATCTCCTTAGTCACTGTCTCAACTATATGATCCAATGTATCACACCGTGCCCTAATATATATTTATTATTATATTAATCAAATCACATGCATTCTAAGGAGTATTTTATATGGTATTATATGATAACAATCCACAATTTCGATATTTTGTCTAAAAAAAACTTGCCGAGCTTAATATTTCATGATTCAACGATTTTTGTGAAGTTATAGTAATTGTCAATAGTAATTTATCAATAAATAATGCAAACAAATTAATAGACACAAACGATAATATAATAACTACACGAGAAATAAAATAAAATAAATTTAGTTAAATAGTTATCTGTTATACATTAATGATTTTATACATGAAATATTAAAATTATAGATATCTAAATGTGGTAACTTATTATAAAATGAGATCATACGGAATAATGGAATAAATTTAACATAGTTTTGTGAATGACTGCTAATGTGGAATAGTAAATTAAATAATACTTTTTCAATCAATCTTATTATTTATTACTTTTACTAAAAATTAAAGATCAAAAATAACCTAGCTATTTCACTTAAAAGTTTATCTAACATTTTAACTTAATTTCTTAAGAATTATAAAAATCTATTTTGTATTTTATCGAACATATTATTTAATCCTATTTGATTAGAATTCCATTCTTTTGAACTAAAGAGCTGTCTATACTTTAACTTTATTTTTCATTAATTTGACAAATAACTATTGATGTTGTACTAATGTGGTTAATTACCTGCGCGATAAAGGTGATTTCCCATAAAAAAATCAACACTTTTCTGTCCACAAATAAAAATTTAATATTTTTGATTTTTATTAAAAAGTTATATTATTACAATAACTAAATTGCATTAAAAACTAAAAAAATAAAATGAGATTAAATTTATTTAGCACAAAAAAAGGAATCAGACGGCCTCAGTTGCCGAATATCAACGAAAAAACAGCAATGAAAAACAATTTTTCATACATACATTAGATTACAAAGGCAATAGTTGCCGATAAAACGATAAACAGAAAAACACAAACACTTAAAATTAACTATTTACAATAATAGATGACAAACATACAGGAAAGGAAGGAAAGATTGTACAACGAGACATGCGAGAGAATAGATTAACGATAACAAAAATTATTTACTTATACATTTTGTACACTGATGCATGAACAGAGCAGTATAATAATTTAAGACATAAAGGATCAGAACATTTTTTATTTTAATTATCAAATTACGCTTAATGAAACCTAGGATTCTTAAGTCTTTATTATAAATATGCTCTATGTGTACNGATTGTACAACGAGACATGCGAGAGAATAGATTAACGATAACAAAAATTATTTACTTATACATTTTGTACACTGATGCATGAATAGAGCAGTATAATAATTTAAGACATAAAGGATCAGAAATTTTTTATTTTAATTATCAAATTACGCTTAATGAAACCTAGGATTCTTAAGTCTTTATTATAAATATGCTCTATGTGTACATTAAACGATAAGTCTAATAACATAAATATACCTAAATCTTTAATAACATTCATTGGTATGAGGAGATACTTGTCTATAAAGTACTGGAACTTGATTGGAATTTTGTGACAGTAAAAATATATTTACTTACATTTATTCACATTGATGTCTAAATTATTATTGTAACGCCAAATAGAAAAGTCATAAAGATCATTTTGGAGTAACATGCAATCTTCATAATATGATATAGATTTGTAAATTTTAGTATCATCGGTAAATAATAGATAATTTCTATGACGAAAAATTGTATTTGCATCATTAATAAAAAATAAAAAGAATATTGGAGGCAAATGACTGCCTTGCGAAACACAAGATGTAACTTCAAACTCATCACATAGACTGTGTTTGTACTTGTTGAGTATGTTTAGATAAATATTATTGAAGCCACGCTAACAAGGGAATATTCATTCCAATATTTTGTAATTTTTTTTATTAATAACTTATGATTAACTGAATTAAATGTTTTTTTTAATCTATATGTATATTGAATCAACTTTATTACCTATTGTTACAGATTCTACAAGGAATGAATAATATGTTATCACATTAGACTCTATTGATTTCATAGTTCTAAAACCATATTGTTTATTGTATAACACATTTTTTAATACATGGCTTTGGTTCTACTAATTTTTCAAGAAATTTCCCCGAAAACTAAATTTATAAATAAGCCGGTAATTTGAAATAGATCCCCTATCCCCTGATTTAAATATTGGGGAGATATTACTTTATTTCCATATATTAGAGAAAGAGCCACCGTTAAAAGACAAATTAAATAGGTAAAAAATTGTATATGATAGAGAGTACCGACATTTATTTAAGATTAATGCTGTCAGTTAGTCAAGACCATGTACCGGTCCAGTACCAAGTTGACTTAGGCCGTCAAATATGTCAGCAAGACTTATTTCACAGTGGGAAATATTTATTAAATCATCTAAATTATATTAAATTATCATTAATATTATTATTTACATTATAAGCTGCTGAAAAATAATTGCTAAACAAGGAAGATATTACTTTTGAAATCATTTGAATTATTATAATACATAATAGGTGGCAGATTTTTCTTAAATTGTTTAATATACTTTCAAAAATATTTTGGGTTGCTAATCAAGTGTCTTTGTGTTTGACTTCAATATATCGTAACATTTTTACGGACATTATTTTAAATTTTCATCCGATTTCCAAAAATTTTAAATAATTATCATTATTATCAGTTATTTTATACCTTTTACGGGCTTCTATTTTATTACAAATCATCTTTTTTAATTCAACATTAAACCATTGAGTAAAATTTGTATTATTGTTATTAGAAAATGAAACGAAATTTTGAAAGGCTTCATTAATAATTTTGTAGAACTCACTTAGAACTTGTTCAATGTTTTTCAATTCAAATAATTTATTGCAATCGATGCAGTTAAAAAATCTTGCTGAAATATAAATTGGCAGTAAGATAAATTATTTTATTTAACGGGATACATAACCCTACAACTCCATGGAGTTGTAAGATTATTAAATATAGAAAACCTTACTAAATAATTTGCATAGTCCATAAGTGATAATATACTCGTCACTATCATAAAATGGAATAACAGTGGGCTACTCTGTTTATGTCCACATTAATGGTCTCTTATTTAACCTTCTCGTTTAAGATAATCAATACTTCTATTTATACATTATATTCATATTCTTTGAAGAACATAATTCTTTTTGACCAAAAAGATTTAAATAAATAACTTAAAGAAATATTTAACAAACACATATTGTTTAATTTTTTTTTTTTCGGCCATGAAACACTTGGCCATAGTAACTATCCTAAATAGCACTTCTTTCAGAGCCCGTTTTTCATCTGTAGCAGTCCCTTCGTTTACATTCATTGCCATTTTTTCTATTAGTCTTTCTGAAGTACATTCGCTGTTGAATAAACTTGACTCTCGTTAATTTTCTTCATCGGCAGAATCTTCGTCGTCATCCACGCCTGAAGGTAAATCATCAATAGCACAATAAGCTTTGAAAAAATCATTTTTCTCCCACGGAGATGACAATTTATCTGTATTATTATTTATCGTCACCGACGATTGTGATAATTTAACATGACGTCCTTCGACTAAACGACGAATTGACGATCTCTTTAACTTTCTTCGAGTTTCATTTTGGCGGACAATCGGTTTTGTTACCTGTATGTAAAGTGACACTAAGTCCTCATTGCTAAAATCGCTCTGATCAATCATTTCGCTATCTGTAGAAACATCGGACCATTGGTCATCATCTTCATCGATATATAAGTTCGTATTGGCCTGATCTTCGTCATCTAAACAAAATAAATGCACATGACAAAATTAAAAAATTCAGAGAATTGGCTTTCTTTCTAATGTGCTGAGAATTTGTCAATGTTTTATAAGAAAATTAGGAAAAAATTCAAGTTTATTTAGATAAAGTAAATAATTTTTTAAATTAAATGGGAAGTATAAAATAATATATACTCATATATAAAGTTTATAATATAAACCCTTCGTTTTTGTAAATCTTATACAAAAACTTAATAAAATATTGTTTTGTAATAATACTTATTAAAAAAATTTTTTTATAAACGTTTTATGATTTGCAACATTTGTTATTTAAAAAATTTTTAAGTTAATAAATGAGACATATAAATTATAAAAGTCCTTATTTTTAAATAAATGGAATTATGTTTATTATATTTACGATAAAAAATCTTTTTTTTTATTTTAATTCAAATAATTTTACGTATAGTGATAAATTTATATTAATGCAAATTACAAATCGGCATATTTAGTCTTAATTTCAGTTATTTTTTATCAATATTCTATTGATTGTAGAATTATTAAGTATTTTCATGTATGAAAGATTTGAGTAGGTGACAAATAAACAGTTTAAAAACAGTAATTGAATAAAATTATAAGAAAAGCTGTTAATGACATAAATAAAAATATATCTTATAAATATTAAATTTTCTCAAGAATCTTCTCATTGCCCTTCAAGTTAATAATAATTTGTAGTTAATTTCTTAAAAGCATCACCTATGATGATTTTTCTTACGAAACAATGAAATAGTAAATACTTGTTATAAAAAAATAATTATCCGTAGTAGAGCGTGTGTAAATTAGCGGATATTTTTATTATGTAAATAGGTAATTCAGTAATTGGATTTGCTAAAAAGTTTAAGAGTCTGCCAAAGCCCAAAGTGGTATAGGAAGTTATGAAATATTTTTTCATATACTATGTGATATCTGAATAATGACTATAATTCGCAAATGAAAGCTGTAAAATAACTCATGCAATTTTTTTACGTCTCCTAATAACTTTATTCAATTGTAATATAATTTTTTTTTATATAAAATTAAACCATTAAAAAAAAATGAGTTACTTAAGGAACATTAATTTATTTAATTAATTAGTTCATTAAACTAAAAATCAGTTGAATTTCAATGGAAAGGAATAATTATAAATGTTAATAATAAGTTAATGTCATTCTTCACAATTGAAAATCAATTGATTTTTATAATATTTGACCAACTATAGAAAATATTATAAAAATTATGGTTTCGATTAACATAATGACTTTGCATGATTTCATCGTAATCTTATGAGTAAATATTCAAGATTGTTATTTTTAATAATTACCTAAGCCCATCTTGTAAATAGAAAGAATGTTCATGGCAAATTTTTTCGTTAAAACTGCTATAAATATTATCGTGGCAAGATATACAGGATATGTGCAAAATTTATGTATATTCATTTAGTTCGACGGTCTAACCGAGTAGTGGCAATTTTAATACATGTTGTTGCACATGAAATTTAAGATAAAAATGTTTACACATTTGTTATAAATTTGCTAGGCAATTAGTGTAATCATTTAGCCAAACTATTTTATAAACGAAAATAATAAATAATATGAACTGTTAATATACTGTTAATTAATTAAAAATTTAGCTCAAAATAATGAATACGATTTAAACAAATGAATTTCAACAAATCAAAAAAAAAATTGATTTTTATATGTTCAATTCCAATATAATAAGGTAGATTTACATAAATAATTCTGTTAGATCGAATTACGGTTTTGTTTGGATAATCTTTTGAGTACATTAACTTTCTGATGAAGTGTACTGATACGGTGTTCCTATACTATAGCATTATGCATTTAAACATACTTGAATGTAGATATTATTGCCTAAGTAACATTATGTTTGATCATTGCGACTTGAATAATACATGAAACACTTAACCAAGATGGATTACTAGTATGCTATTATCACTCATTTGGTTAATATACAAGCAAAGGTCATTTAGAGGATATGCGTAAGTGGAAATGATCCAACAGCTACCTGATAACAGCTCAGACACCAGATCGATTATACCATTCCTTTTCAAAGTAAATAACATCCCTAAGCCAGTGAAAACTATTTACTTCATTGTTCCGACTTAAAATTAATAAAATTGTATGATTAAATATTGAAATTACCAATAAATCGTAGATAATTTTGTGGAGATTCAAGTGTATCAAATTTTAGTTTTTTACGCAGAAAATAACCTGGGAAAACGTAATCACGAGAAAAAAATATACTTAAGTTCAATAATTCGGAAAAATTATCTTAGTATTTTTTTTTTGATACATTTCAGCGCCGGATGAGAAAAAAGGATCCATTGAGATTTTTATCCATTCACACCTAATTCCTCAATGACTTTTTTTTTTGCTCATCATTTAATTTTGTATTTTTAATCTTTTTCAAAAATTACTCCTCGGTGAATAGTAGCAATAAAACAGCTATATTGAAATAAAAATGTTCATTTTTTTTTTAATGTTCATTTTTGCTAAAAATAAAAAAGTTGTTGATATTTTTATCTTTATAACTTAATAAATACAAATAAATTTAAAAAACACTTTGTGTTAACATGTTTACAAGTTTGTTAATTGTAATTGTTTTGAATTTGAGTCGGTGATTTTAAAAAGTGTTGTCTCTCGTAGACGCCTTTATTCAGTGCCATTTTTGCACAAAGAATGCATTTTGTATTATTTAATAAATCACATGAACTCAATGCAAAAAACACTAAAACAAAACAAATCTAACACCTCAATGTAAATAGCATAACGTGCGATGTAAGCTTTGTAAATTTTTATCACCTTGATAAACGTAGATTCACGTGTAAGGCAGAGGGTCACCTAGCCAAGGAATGTCCCAAGAAGGTGGGAGGGCCAGAGAAACCCACATAAGGTATCTCCTGTCCTCCACACTATTTTGTGTTTCTTTTGTGTTTTGTGAATTTTTATGCCAAACCATAGCAAAGTCCTACCCCCACCTCCACGTGGTGCGGCCTGGGCAACGGATCCCACTCTGGGGTCCGTTGGGCTAACGGGGGAGGCCACGTCGTGTTGTGACTCAGCTCTTGATTAATTTCGGGCTAAGTCACAACACGGCGGTGTGAGTTTTAATGCGACGTTGAGCGCCCTGAAGCAATACCTCACGGTAGTTCCAGGGCGTCCAACGTTATGTCAAAAAAATAAAAAAAAGGCGTAGGCAATATAAAGTTAAGAGACTCGACAATATTCTACAGTTCTACAGTTGCGGAGATAAACATGGCTGTGGAGTGGGTTTTGTTGTAAAAACAACATGTTATCGTACATCAAAAAGTTTGAAGTGTGTAATGAGTGATTATGCTGGTTACAGATAGAATGCAAATGGATAAACATATCACTAATCAATTGCTACGCATCGACGGAAGAGATAGAAAATAGAATTAAAGAAGAATTTTTTAGCCAGCTAGATATGATATCCGATTGTATGCCTAGAAGAATATAAAGAATTATTATGGGTGACTTAAATGAGAAAGTCTTCATAAAGAATCAAACAATAATGATGATGATTAGTAACTCTCGCGACGTCAAAAAAATGGTGATTAGCAGCACATTCTACCCTCACAAAAATATTCATAAACAGACCTGGACGTCTCCAGAAGGAACAACACATAATCAGATAGACCATGTGGTAGTAGATAATCAAATAAAATACTGGATTCCGAACATGAAAAGTTGTAGAGGAGTAGGCTCACACTAAGACCATTTCTTAGTTAGGACTATAGTTAGGGTGAAACTATCCAGAGAATGGTCAAAAAAATTATCAAATACAACAAAAACTGAACTTAGAAAGTCTTAAAGAAGAACAAATGCCGAAAAAGTACCAGGATTAAATAATAAAACAACCACTTGAGAGACCGCAAACTGAGCAGATTAGATGGAATAACCTCAAAAAAAACATTGGCGGCAACAAGATCAATTGGATACAGAACAAAGAAAAAAGTAACAACATGGTTTAATGAGAAATGTAAAACGGCAATAAAAAATAGAGATAAAGGCAAAATGGAAGTAATCAAAGACAATAGAATGAGAAAAGGAACGTGCTAGTCCAAAAACAGAGAGAGGTTAAAAGAACGATCAGTAAAGAAAAAAGAATATAGGAAGAAGAAAAAATTAGGAGAATAGAAGAGGAATATATAAATTCAAGAGATTTTTTCCAAAATCAACGAGCTAACATGAACAGTTCTTGTTAGCTTATAAGTTACTTATAAGCCAAAAACAACCATCATGAAGGACAAGAACGGAACACTAATAAACAAGGAGACAGATATAGCAAGGGAATTTTCAAACAATGTATCAAAACCTACTAAACAAGACTATTGATGTACTCCAAATAAACACCGGGTAGGACCAGAAGATAAGGAACTTACTTTAGAGGAAATCAAAGTTGCCATTAAAATGCTAAAAAATAATAAAGCTGCAGGAAACGATGAAATAGCATCGGAATTATTAAAATATGGAGGAGATTACCTAAAAATAGAGATATGTAATGTAATAAAAGAAGTGTGAATGATAGAAAGGATGCCGGAGGAATGGAATATATCAATTATATGTCCAATTTATAAAAATGGAGATGCAATGGACTATGGTAATTATAGGGGGATATCCTTGCTATATATGACTTATAAAATTCTCTCTAACATTATTCTTAACCGCCTACGACCATATGCAGTAGATATTATAGGAAAATACAAAAGTGACTTCTTAGTGGGAAGATCGACAATTGATCACGCTCAAGCAAATGATAGAGAAATATTATGAATGTAATAAGAAATTGCATTTACTATTTGTGGATTTTAGATAAACATATGACTCGGTTAAAAGATAAGCATTATTTATTTATTTATAAATTTAATGGGCTTAGCCTTTTTTACAATATCAGGTTATTTAACAATTTCATAAAATAATATCAGTATAATATAATCCACAACGATTCAATAGAATATTTGAAATAATATATGAAAAAATTACCGTTTTAAAGTACAAATTAAGAAAAAGAAAGTGGTTAACAAGATAACATATGTGAGTCCATTTTGACACTATTTAAAATTCTTCTAATCGGCTCATTTTATAAGTAATTTGTAGAACTAATTCAGAAAAATTTCCGTTATACCATATTCTAAAGAGTTTAAAACTACAGTTGGACTAAAACAGGGTGATGCACTTTCTCCTATATTCTTTAACATGTCACTCTAGAGGTGGTAGCTCGAAGCATACATAACAAATATAAAGGAATTGATGTCGGAAAATCTGTATCAATCTTAGCGTATGCTGATAATATCTTAGTACTCGGAGAAACTGAAGACGATATAAAACTAGGAACAGAGGAATTAATACGAAGTGTCAAGACAATAGGATTTTAAATAAAGGAAAACAAAACCAAGTATATGTGTATAACAAGAGAACAACTTCAAATACATCAGACAAGGAATATACAGATCGGAGAGTATACATTTGAAAAAGTACACAGTTTTATATATCTTGGTACAGAACTAAACAGCCAAAACAACAATCACGAAGAGATTAAGAAATGTGTTCTAGCAGGTAACAGATGTATACATGCACTATCTAAATGCCTGCACTCAAAGCTACTATTAAAGATATCGAAAATGAGATTATACAAAGTAATAGCAAGACTTATCATAACGTATACATGTAAGACATAACCAACAACGTTAGAAGATGAGATAAAATTGGCTATAGTAGAAAGAAAGTTTCTAAGGAAGATACGTGGACCTAAAATGAATAATGTAACACAAAGATATGAAATAGGATTAAATGAAGAAGTATATAAAGCTTTTGGAGAACCAAATATAATTAGACTAATTAAAGCCAAAAGACTAAGCTGGCTAGGTCACATACTAAGGACTAACATGATTACAAAGAGGCACTAAGTTGGAAGCCACGAGGAAAGAGGCCCTTAAGCAGACCTAAAAACGATGGTTTGATGAAGTCTCAAAGGATCTAACAACGCTAGGAAGTGAAAACTACAGGGAGGTAGCAATGGATAGAAAGAGATGGAAGGAAGTGTGTGTTGCAACAATGGGCCTTAACGAACTTTAAAGCTAAAGAAAAAAAAAATAATAAGAATATTAATAATACTACTGATAACCCAGTATAAACAAATTATTATGATTATATTTTTCAATATGTTGTGTATTGTTACTTGCGTGTAATTGTATGATTTCGTTGATTTCTTGTTAGGAGCTGACTATGTAAACAATAACATTTAAACGATTATGCGTCTCAGCAACATCAGTGTATCTTTAGATTAGCTAAAATGTATTATCTATATTAAGCTATATGTATTGTGGAGAAAAATCTGTATAAATTACATCAGTTATTATGCAGTGATTATTATTGCAGCTAAGAATGTGATAAAATGTGAAAAGGTTTGTATTTGTCGAACGATTTGCACAAAAACGGATTGTGTACTAAAACATTTCTAAAACATAGTCTTTTTTAGATACTAAATTATCAAGTCTTTATTTTAGATTTGATATAAACTATACCAAAATATCTAACGAATAAATTTACTATTATACTTTATAGAAATAAGGTTGATATCCTTTTAACACATAAGACAATAGATATCAAAAATATTTCAATTTTTTTTTTTAATTAATTAAGTAGTTTACAAAGAAAGAATCGCACTTTAAATTTTTTAATAATTTATTGTCTTTATATTTAGTGCAATTACATCGATTTTAATTTCGCTTATTCATTTTCAAAATCAAATGTAACTACAATGAACAAAAAAAAAGAATTTTTAATAATATTATTATATTTTGATTATATAAGTGGTTCATGATAACAGAATCACTCAAAAAATACTGATTGGATAGTAATTTTTTTACTTAAAAAATTTTAGAATACAAATATTATTAAGAAAAATCATCAATAATCTAAACTGGAATATTGTACACATACACAATTGTATAAGTTTTAAAAGGTTGTGTTCTTCTAACCTACTGGCCACTGCGAGGTGCATAAACAAAGTCTATTGACCTGACGAATTCTTTTCGTATTTCAAATTGTTCATCGGGATCAAGATTATGCCGGAGATAATATTCTCTTAAAATTGTACTTTCTGTTTCAGTTAAATTCATTCTAAAAGAACAACGTCTAACTAAATCTTCTTCGTGAGGTGTTTTTACATTTATTGTCCATTGATGAAGTCCCGGAAGTATATCATTAAAATTATAAATTATAGTACCAATATCAATTAATAGCTGCTTGTCGGCATAGTGATTTGGTATAAGAAATAAATAACGAGCTACCATTTCCTTAAATATGTGAATATAACGAGAAGGCCTGCTAATTGATAATTTTAATAAAAGCAATTCCTCTTCTCTTGTTAAACCAGGATGAATTTTCGGTTTTTTCCATGAATCGACTATAGATTTTAATTTTAAAATCAGTTAATAAGTTTCTATAGTTAAAAATTTATTTTTGTAAAAAAAAGTTTTTGCGTTGATTTTATAATGTTAAAATTAATTTTATTTAACATTATTAGTAGTAAATTGATACTTAAAAGTAATAAGTCACACATACCAAATATACTTTTTAAACGATTTAATTCAACATTATATTTGATTATCTTGGAAACATTTTTCTGATACATAATAGTATTAATTCAATTCTATATGTTTACGTATTATTTCAAATTTTACATTAATTAAAAATGATTAATGAATAAATAATTTTTTTTCTAAAAGACTACGAAGATATTTATAACTTTTGATCTGAAATAAAGTATTAATGGTTCTTATAGACTTTTAGAAATATGAACCAAATATTTCTCTCTGCAAAATTATTTTTTGTACAATAGAATAATTTTATTGTCAAAAAAAGCATTGGAATTAATCTAATGATACTTTATCGAAAAATACGTCAATATTTTATGTATGACATTATTCAAGACCCCCAATTTATTTTTAAAATAAAGTCTATCAAATAGGTCAGATTGAATGTGGATTCTACAAATAAGACAATACTTACTCATGTCTTCCGCACCGACTAAAACAAGAAAAATTCATTTTTAAAAATAATGCAAAATAATATTACAGCATGTGTTACATTTTACTTACTCGGTTTTGTGTACTGATAAATTTCTACAATTTTACAAAAAAAGTACATTATTATACGATCTATGAATGTCTTCCGTTCCCCACTAGAAGTTGTAAACCCTCTATTTTAAACTAAAATTTTTATTAAAATATTCAATAGTTGTTTCATTTTATTAAATTACTACCAGAAAATAAATTATTTTGTTGGTAATTTTTATTATAATATGTAAGTATTAAATATTAATATTTAATATAAATATTAAAAATATTAAATAAAACTATGATTATTTGGATAGTATAATTTTTTTCACCCCTCAATTATTAGCTGAAATACGGACTTGGGTGATTTTAATATACTAAACGATGCTTTTAACAGTATTCAATCGATCTCTCTTAAAATAACATTGTTGATAATAATAATATTAAGAAAATTATTATTGGTATTTTTTAGTTATTTTATAGTTTTTTAATTTGTCAATTAAGTACATTTTTAACTCATCCCTTATACCTTAAAAGGTTGATATGGTCACATTAGCGTATGTTATATATATAGACATACAGGACCTGACAACAACGTCAAATAAACATTCTAACACAATGCCATTAGGAAAAATGCAGTGCGATAAGCAGTCAACACCTATCATATAAACGCTAAAGGCTAATTAATATTATTTCAACTTATTAGTATTATTATTATTTATTCAAACAATTATAATTCTTATGATGTTTATGGAGCGTCGTCGGCTCTCTAATGGACACAGGTCTCGTATCCACGGGTCATGATTGTTTTAGCTTCGATACGAAGCTGAGAAGGTATTGGTTTTACTATGATGTGTTTTTTTTTTTGTTACCACTTTTTCTCAGCTCTCACCGAACCAATTTCTTTTAAAGATACGTCAAAAGATCACAAATCGTATCTAGTCGAAGACATTACCCTCAAAAATTAAAAAAAATTCCCTTGTTCCCCGTANTGTGCTCTTCCGTTTTTTTTGTGTCTGTTACCACTTTTTCTCAGCTCTCACCGAACCGATTTCTTTCAACAATATGTCAAAAGATCACAAATCGTATCTAATCGAAGACATTACCCTCAAAAATTGAAAAAAAATCCCCTCGTTCCCCGTAAATGGGGGAAACCTCCAAAAAAATTACAAATATAAAAATCGCTAATTTTAAAAAATTTTTAAATTTTTTTTACTTAAAATTGCTATAACTTTTTTAAAAATAACCGAATCAATATAATTTTTTTTTATATAGATGCATGATATCATTACCTTTCATTTGGTATATATTTTATTCATATCTGACCCTTTACGTGCCCACGGGGGGATTTAAAATGACAACTTTTTCACAAAAAATTTACTTTTTCAACTTAACTTTTGAAAATGTTCCGGAAGGTCTGACACTTTTATATATATTTTAAATTAAAGCTAATGTAATATACTTTATTATGCAAAAAAAAAATTTCGGACTTTATTTTGTCTTCACGGTGAAAATAGCTACCGAATGCTATTTTTGTGTGAAAATTCTCGATTTTATTTTCTACATTTTTAACTTTATAATGATATAACTTATTGAAAAGTGTATGGATCAACATAATTTTTTTATGAGAAATAAACTGATTTTCATAAATATTATATCAATCTAATTGACATGGTATAAAAAGTTATATATATTTAAATTTTTTTGTTTCTTTGAAGTCGAGAAAAATAACTTTAAAATTTGAACTAGCTATTTTTTGAATATTTTGCCTCCTACGTTAAAAGAACTGTATAGAACTATATAAAATTGTCCTTTTTATCCATATATCGGTTTGATGTATATAATACCTTCGTTGAATATTTCGGAATTGAATAAAAAATTTCGGACTTTATTTTTTCTTTATGTTGAAAATGACTACCAAATGCTATTTTTGTGTGAAAATTCTCGATTTTATTTTTTGTATTTTTAACTTTATAATGATATAACTTATTGAAAAGTGTATGGAACAACATAATTTTTTTATGAGAAATAATATTTTTTAATAATCCCTTTTCCATTCGACATACTTTATCTTAATCAAGATATTAATAAGGAACTATCAAATCATGCAGCTTTTGGAATAATCCACCAATTTTTTAAAATTAAACACTATCTAAAAATTTGCATCAAAGCGTTTTTTATGATAGTGATTTTAATCACTGTCAGATATCATTATACTTGATCCAACTATGCCACGTCAGCACTGTGCCGCGACCCCCTGTGCTGGGTTTTTTTTTTTTTATTTAATTATTAACAAACCATGTCATTCGTTGTTTTCAATTGCATTACACATTAATAAGTACGACCCTCGGTTGTTTCTCTAAGAGGATATAAACTAGTTACAAACTTCAGTACTCGAAGTATATATAATTTAGTCAGCTATTCTATTGTATGTTCCTTGGATTACTGTTGACGGGTATTTGGGGCTCGCACTCAAATAACGCCCTATCAATGGTGTTAACTTTATTTATTTAAATGGTAACATACATAACTAAATAGTTTATAAAATAAGAAATTATATAAAAATATAAAGTTAACACCCTTTTATGATATAAGGCATGAATTAAAACTAAAAAATATCAACAATTTTCTTTACATAATTATTATTTTAAAAGAAATCGAGAGGCTAACGTTAACAAAATCACTATATTTTAGAATGAAAAACACATAGATACAAAGTTATAATTAGACACGTGTATGAGTTATGTCAATACAAATAAAATAATATACAATTTTGTGGATTATATTCAAAAGCTGATATGTCACAAAAATGTGGTTTTGAAATTTTTTATATTTTGTACAGAGAAGGTTATTTTCTGTCACATGCCAAAAAATTACCAATTTATATTATCGAGAAGGTTTATTTTTCAGATTTTTTTATTCTCCAGAAAAATTACTATATTTCACATATCAACTTTTGGATTTTAGTCACAAAATTATAATTAAGGTTCAAACGTTTATGAATTTTAAATCAAGCAATAAAACCTATATGAAATAACAATTCGGGCTCCAGTTCAGTTAGTTTAAAAATTAAAATTTCTAAAAGTTTTAAAACAAATTTAAGATACCAGAACCGGTATTAATCAGTTTTTAAAAATTTGGTTTATTATAAACTCTAAAAAATTTGTATTTAAAAAAAATAATTACTATAATATAATTTTAGAAAAATAAAAAATATATCTCCAGTATTGTAGATAAAAAAATCATCATAGTTGGAAAATGTATACAGAGTGATTCTTTTAAATGTTGCTACTCAATTACTCTTAATTTTTTTTTGCTTTTGTTATGTTCAAATGTATCTTGATTTATTTTTTATAGAATATTTTTTATGTTTTATATTATAAAATGTAAAAAAATAAAGTTGAAATCTATAAAGACATAAGCGATGAACATAATTATATTTTATAATAATTTGTAATTAACAAAAGCCAAAAAAAAATTAGCATTTTAAGAGAAATTGAGTGGTTTGTATTAAAAGAATCATTCTGTAGATGATATATGTCTATGATTAACATCACTTTCAGAGCAATTTTTATATTTTTAACCTTACTATTTGCAAACTTTGTCTTAAACTTAACATAAAACTTATTTAATTTTATTCGAAAATTTTTGTTTTAAATATAATTAAAATGTTGATATAGCCCACTTAGTAAACTACTATCAAATTGCAAATTTGACTGATTAAAAATTGGCCATATAAATACTACAACCAAAGTGATACACAATATCAATAACATAATGAAATTTTAGCTTCCATCATCATTTATTTCATCAATAAAGTTATTAGAATTGTAATAATTCTAAATATTTGATCTAATACGGAAGCTCAATCTGATTACTGAAATGACATATATCACCACGAAACTTATTTTAAATATCTTTAAAAAGCACTCATTTACAACACAATTTATAATTTTGGAATTTGTTAATCAAAATTATTGAAATAGAACCCTTAACCATTATTTTTATAAGATTTCTGCTTTTAATAATTCCGTGGCTTTGGGTTCAAGTAGCGGTTATGGTTTGTAAATTTTTTAAGGTTCCGATTTTTTTCGGTTCAGTTCTAGTCCCTATTTTAAACTCGTTAGTATTATTGTTAAATTACAATGTTCAACTATACATTTTCTTTTAAGAAATTATTTTTAAAAATTTATTTATTATTTTATATTTGCTTATAAAAATTAACTGTTTAAAGATAAATCACTTACTGGCTATTTCAAACAACAATTCATAAAAAAAAAACATTAATTAATAATAATTATATAGATATGTTGTTTTTACTTTTTTAGGTAATAATGCGCTTATAAGTTTTATTTTACAAAAAAAATTAATTTTTTGTCAGGAATTTTGCACTGGACTATTGTATTAAAAATCAAGTAGTGCTGTATGCTACCTATTCATAGAATCGCTATTGCCATAAAAAATTACTGTGATCCGAATGTTAAAAATTTTACGTTTATGAATAAAATATAAACAATAGATATTAATATTTAAAAAAATATTTCTTGAATCACAAAATAATGGAGAGAAGTGTCTGATGTGTTATGCGATAACAGAATTCCAATGAGGTTGAAAGGTAAGTTCTATAAGTCTGTACTGTACAGCTTTATACATGGTTCAGTGTTGGGCGATTGACAAGAGAATAGAGCAGGGAATGAATGCAGCAGAAATGAAAATGATTAGATGGATGTGTGGAGTGACTAAAGAAGATAGGATAAGGATAGAACATATAAGAGGGAAAATAAGTGTAGTGTCAATCGTGTATAAGATGAGAGAAACTTAGATAATTTTGTCATGTTATGAGGTGTGAGGAATGGGTGCTGTAAGAACAGTAATAGAAATGAATGTTGAAAAAAAAAAGACCAAAAAAGAGATGGAGGGATGTTATTGAATGCGATATGAAGTCGACTAATGTGGAAGATCGTGTCAAGAAGAAGTTTAGGATAAGGGTGATCGACCCACAGTAGTTGGGATAAAGGCGAGGATAAGAAGAAGATTTCTTGAACTACAAAAATCATAAAATCAATTTTCAAAAATATTTACATGAATAATAATAAAATATTGTTTTCTCTCTCGGTTAAATTTTATGGACAACTATGGAATAATCATAGTTCGCCATTGAAGCGTCAATTTCTAATATGCCCTAAAGAATCATTTTAGGATAAATTTTCATGTTTCATTTAAGAATTATATGTACATCAAATCAACGAAAATTTTACATGATTATTAAATATTTACGTTTATAAATTTCCTCTCGGCATTTAGGACAACTTGAATTTCTTTTTCTCCAATTTTTAAGACAACCATAACAATATACGTGTTGACAATTAGTTATCAAAACAAGGCCCTTAAATTCATTAAAACAAATAGAGCATTCTAGAAAATATTAAGAACATATTATTGTAAGTTATTTACACAATTCCACGAATTTTTAAGGTTTATTTAAAACAATGATAAGTTGAGAAATGTATGTAACAGTTAGATTATTTTATTTTAGGATAAAACAAAAATAATTTTTTGCTAACAGTCCCTTTTCTTTTCCGTAAATTTAATATATCTTCGTTTTTTAATATAAATTTCAAGTTTAAATTTAAAAAAAAATTATATCAACATATTATTGGAAGTTATTTCCACGATTCCATGAATTTTGAAGGTTTAATTTATGTAATACAATTATAAATAAAAATGAATGTAAAAGTTTTATTTTGGGAAAAAACAAAAATTATTTTTGCTAACAGTTCATTTTCTTAGTTTTAATATATTTATTACCTTAAATAAAGTTTTATTATTAGTTTTTAGTCGAAATTTCAAATTGGATTAAATGACGAAATTAATGAGCATTAAATATTATAATTTTACAATTGAAATAATTTTAAACCACTTTTAGTATAATTTTTAACGCGCGTATTATATATATATACAAATGAAACAAAAATCATCTAAAAAATGTGTCTCTTTTCGAATATTCAAATCCATTTATGAACAAATATTTCAAACCAATCCCTTACAACCCAAGGTTTCTATCACAAGTAAACGAATCACAAACTAATATACAGCATCTCAGGAATTTCACTAGAAATCGCTAGTTTACCTACTCCATGTTATAAAAAGGCCATTTTTGCATAAAAGAAGAGGATATGATGCTCTTGACCAATATTTTCTTACAGGGGATGTGATGCTAGTGGTCAATATTTTATGACGTGGAGATTCACGTCAATATAATTAAATATTTTGTCCCTAGGACTTAGTTTTTTTCGTATTACCTAAATGTTGAACATTGTTTTTAAATGATCTAAAATATTTTACGCAGAAATAAACATTATTTATTTTAATTTTTACCTAAATATTCTCGTTAGAAAATGATGTTATTATTATATTTAATAAAATCAAATATTTTTATGTTCCTCATTTCTGGACAGCCTTAATGTGCCGAACAGAGTGAAGAAGCGTAATATTGTAATTAATATAGTTATAGTACTCTGTATCCATGTACCCAAAAGTTATAAGGCTTGGTCCAACCTTTTTGGTAATGTATAAGCAGTTGGGATAGACAGTAGTACTGGAAAGATGAGCGTATTTCAATTATAATATATTTTGAAGTGCGTTATTTCCATCGACAAGCTAGTTCTGGATCTAGTAGTGTGGATATAGATCTACTTAACTACTAAAAATATACATAGTACGTAAAAACGATAGAAAACTACATACTCTACTCTTTAAAAATACATGTAATAAACAAAAATAGAAAGAAGTAAGATAGGGATAACTTTGTTGAGTCGTTTAAATTATTAAAACTAGACCTTACTACACATACAAACCCCGACATCCTTTTTATATAATACCAACAACTCTACCAAACATCTTTAATTATTAATTTTTCTTTTTTTTACAAATATTCCACTCTCTTTTCTTCAATACTATAATATTTAATTTTTGTTTATTCATCACTTAAGTGTTTAATAAGCTAATTTATTATTGATACTGTGATTGTCCTCCCATGCTCTCATTCTTTTCCCCGCGGTGTATATAAACTTCCTCAGCTTTCTCTAAAAATATCTTCGTTCTCTTCTATCGGTAATCGTTAATAACCTTTACACTAATTACATCTTCTGTAATTTTCCTATTAAATGTTTAATCTTTACTGATGACTCTATTTCAACCAGTCTTTCCGCCTGCTCTTCCTTTGTAACTGAATTAAAAATTTCAAACTTATTCATACGTCATTTATCGTCTCCAAATTGTAAATATTTCATTTTTTTTTGAAAATAATCAAAAATAGAATTTAAAATAAACAGAATATTATATTAAAATATTTTTATTAATAAATAATATAATATTATACTGTTATAGAAACATTAGATTTTCATATGTATTTACATTAATTAATATAATAACTATTTCTTTGAAAGTTCGAGAAGTTATCAACGCTTACTTTTTTCGTATACATGTGTATGAACATTAATGAGTGTAAATGTTAACTTATTTTTAATAAAAATATCACTATATGTACTACCATACTTAAACACCTTATTTATAATTTTTTTTTTTATTTTTAAGTCTCTTTAAGTACCATTGCATCCTCCACCCAAAGAGGAGGTTTCTTAGCCATTTATACGAATTGTTAGTCAGTCGTTGGACAGAGAGAATCCAATTAATGAACTGATCTCTCGTTCAGCAAACGTAGCCGCCTGTAACCGAATCTCGAACCTGAGACAGTTCGTTTCAGGCACGTTACTGACTCGACCACACCGTCTCTATTTAAAACTATAGCACTTAAAAATATTTTTTTTTATTATTTATGAATAGAATCCAAACCTCTTTGTTTATCTAATCCTGTAATAAAAACAATTATTAATATAAATACTATTTGTTAGTTCTACACTAAATATAATTGACTGCATTATCGTTAATATTTTTAACTAGTTTAAATGTAATATTTACCACAGGATTCATACAAGAAAGATATTAAAAATGTGACTAAAGTGATGACCAAATTCTGAAAAAAAAAAATTCATTTAGCGATTCAACCTTTATACAAAAATTATGTTATTTTTAGAAAATAAAACATACCATTTTTTTAAATCAAATTGTATTCGTATTGATATATTTCAAACTAATAATCAAATTTTATACCTTCTTTACACTATATATACTCATCAATGTAAAAATAATAATATAAAACCTTTTAAAATAATTCTTATTTATTTATTAATTTTTTTTAATGAAGAGCACTTGGTACAAAAAATAAAATAGTTAAATTATTTCAAAATTACACTTTTAAATTAAAATAAAATTATGTTATAAAAATAAGCAGACAACTGTGTACACAAATTAGTATGATTAAAAAATCTTCATTTATAAAACGCATATTTGAATACCTAGAAATATATATTTACTGTGCATCGGGTGGTTGCAGACCCGGCGCCCTTAAGCCCTTCGGATGACCTTACAGGTCACTGATACCGGTGTAAGTACCTGACTACGCCTGGCATGATATGTGTTTTGCAAAAAAAATTTTATTCAAGAAGATGTTTACCAATATAATTGTTCACACTTGAAATTAAATAATAATTTAAAAAATAATAATATGACAACAAAATACTTAGGTGTATTCATAATCACAACAATAACCTACTAATCGAAATATCAGGAATTAAATCGAAAAACAATGATGAAAATAGCGTTTTTGATCAAACTTTTAAAGGTTCACGGAATGCTAAAATAATTTTTCTCATCTTTATGAATAATTTTCCCAAAATAACGTCATCGAGCTGTTTCATTTAAAAAAAAATTTTAAATCGGAATTTGTAAAGTAATTTTTCCAGCATTAGCTAATTTTTCAATGTTTTATTATATAATAAAATATCATAAAACTAGTAACTAGGATATAATTAACGAAATATTTTAAATTAAATTCATTCGAATAAGTAATATTTATATTTTTCTTTTATGCGACATATTTATTTTTTAAATCAGACCATTTCCCTTACAATAGAGGGGTTCAAAACTTTAAAATGCATATAGAAAGTAGAACTTTCCAACTTAATTATTGAAAGTGTTCCGGAAACACTGACACATTTATATATAATATACAGGGTGGCCCACCACTCACTAACAACTTAAATAACTTTTGATCCAGTTAATATTTTTAGCTGATTTTTTTTTTAAATATTAGTTAGACGTTAGGTCTATAGCTATATCTCAATAATTAATTTTTTTACATTTTATTAAAAATATTAATTATTTTTAAATTTTAAATAAAATGTAAAAAAAAAATCTAAGATAGCTATTTTGTAGAGTAGAATTTAAGAAAAATTTTAGTAAAAAAATATCTTATTAATATTCAGTAGTAAATATTCTGTAGCGTTTTGAAGTTTGTGAAAATTTGAATTTTCATGTACTATTTTACGGTATTAAACATTGAAATACGTATTGAGAAAAGGACAGAAGAAAACGCTATCTTTTCAATATACTTTTGAATGAGAGTGATAAGTAATAATTGCCTTATCTAATTTCTTATCATGGTATTTATGCCAAGTTTGTAATGTATACACACTATCATCATATGTATACACAGTAATCATGAAAAGATAGCGTTTTCTTCTGTCCTTTTCTCAATACGTATTTCAATGTTTAATACCGTAAAATAATACATGAAAATTCAAATTTTCACAAACTTCAAAACGCTACAGAATATTTACTACAGAATATTAATAAGATATTTTTTTACTAAAATTTTTTTTAAATTCTACTCTACAAAATAGCTATCTTAGATTTTTTTTTTACATTTTATTTAAAATTTAAAAATAATTAATATTTTTAATAAAATGTAAAAAATTAATTATTGAGATATAGCTATAGACCTAACGTCTAACTATTATTTAAAAAAAAAATCAACTAAAAATATTAACTGGATCAAAAGTTATTTAAGTTGTCAGTGAGTGGTGGGACACCCTGTATATAAAAGTGTTTCTTTAAAAGCTTTAATTTAAGATATTATCTTAAATTAAAGCTAATATAATATGGAAAAAATAAAATTCGCACATTATTTTGTCTTCACGTTGAAAACGGACATCAAAGTTAATAAAATAAATACGATTTTTGTAAAAAAATTCTTTTTATATTTTTAACTTTATAATTCTGTAACTTTTTGAAAAATGTATGGATCATTATAATTTTTTTAAGACAAGTACTATTAATATCCCTCTTTCATTCGTCATACTTTTTTTTTTAAATAACACCATTTCCCTTTATATATTTACATATTAATATTTATATTAATTCATATATTACACTTATAAATCATAAAACTTAATCAGAATAAAAATAAGGAACTAGGAGATCATGAAGTAGCTTTTGGAATAATCCACTAATTTTTCAAAATTAAACACTATCCACAGATTTGCATTGAATCGTTTTTTATAATAGTGATTTTAATCACTGTAAGATATCATACTTAATTCAACTATGACACGTCACTATAGTATACTGTATAGTACAGTATACTGTGCTGCGTTTTTTATATTAAATAAATTTATACAACTTTTAAAATCATCATTATCTAATTCTTACAGTTTAACAGTTTATTGATAAATAAGCATAAAATACAGAAATATTACAGATGAATGGAGTATATAAATCATTTTGACATTTTATATATAACATCAATATAGTTTTTAGCTTCTTAGTTTTTAGATTTTCAATTGTGAAGAATGACATTAACTTATTATTAACATTTATAATTATTCCTTTCCATTGAAATTCAACTGATTTTTAGTTTAATGAACTAATTAATTAAATAAATTAATGTTCCTTAAGTAACTCATTTTAGCTTCGATGCGAAGCGGAGAAGGTATTAATTTTACTATGATGTGTTTTTTTTTTTTTTATGTCTGTTGCCACTTTTTCTCAGCTCTCACTGGACCGATTTCTTTCAAAAATACGTCAAAAGATCACAAATCGTATCTAGTTGAAGACATTACCCTTAAAAATTGAAAAAAATTCCCTCGTTCCCCGCAAATGGGGGAAATATCCAAAAAAATTACAAATTTAAAAATCGCTAATTTTCGAAATTTTTTCACTTTTTTTTCTTAAAACTTCCATAACTTTTTGAAAAATCAACAAATCAACATATTTTTTTTTTATACTAAAATCTTAGATATTTACCTTTCATTTGATATAATTTTTTTGAAAATCTATGACTTAACCTGCTCATTGGGGGGGATTTAAAATAGTAATTTTTTTACAAAAATTAACTTTTTCAACTTAATTTTTAAAAATGTTCCGGAAAGACTGCGTCCTTCAAACATATATCAAATTAAAGCTTTTTTTATGTATTATAAAATGAAACAAAAAATTTGTCCCGACACTTTTTCTTCTACATTTAAACGGCTGCCGTAGTTAAAAAAACACTATTTTTGTGTTAAAATTTTCGATTTTCGATTTTAAATTTTCAACTTAAAAATGCTATAACTTTTTGAAAAATGTATATATCAGCACAAATTTTTTTTTTCTAAATACATTATAAGTACATCTTTCATTTGACATACTTTTTATTAAAATTGGACAATTTCCCCTTATATAGGGGGCGTTCAAAACTTGAAATATTGTAAAAAACATAGATCTTTTTCAACTGAACTTTTGAAAATGTTCCGGAAATACTGCGTCCTTTAAACATATATCAAATCAAAGGTTATGTTATATACAATCAAATGAAAAAAAAAAATTTGTCCCGACATCTTATCTTCTATGTGCAAATAACTGTCGAAAATTTAAAAAAAATGAAATTTTTATGAAATTTTAGCTATTTTTTTATTAAAATTCTGGGTTTTGTATTTTATTTTATTTTAAAATATCTTATTAGGGGAATAAACTGACTTTCTTGAATATTATATAATATCATTGACATAGAATAAAGTTCATAAGACATATGAAATTATACTTATTAAAATTTTTTTACTTTTTTAAAGTCGAAAAAGTAATTTTTAAATTTGAGTTAGCTTAAATAGCCAATTTTATC